AAGTTTTGTAGATACAGGTTTCGTGCTCATCTACGAGAAAATATCTATAGTTTATAAAGGATTTAAGATTAATATAGGTCTTGAAATCGCGTTACTACTTGTGTCAGACGAAGTTTTTACTGCTCATTTACTAGCGCTTCGATTGGTTGCCTGTTGATGTTCAAAATGATTAATCAATAATCGTTAGACTATATTTGTCTAACCATTAGTGTTATAATGTGGCTATCAGTCCGTATACTATGTTATGACATTGATCTGTAAGGAGTTTTGAACTTGGACTTTATTTCAACTGGCCCTTACTATCAAAGTAGATATACGGTCTCGAGAGAGAACTAAGAGTCCTTAAAAGATTCGAACATGACCTTGCCAATATCAGAATTTGAAACTCTATCTACAGGACCGTCTACCAACGTGGACAAACATATAAGGTCAACCTTCTTTATTTTGTAATTTCACCTGTAGCTCCTTCAGGGGCTACTGCCGGTCCCAAGCCCGGATAAAAATGGAGGGTTGGGCATTGGGTCAGCAACCCCATTCCGTAGAAACCTAAGTCGCTAAAAAAACGCTAACCAGAAAAAATTTCTCAAACCAGATTCCAGCGGATGAAGAAATCAGGAAGAAGCACTGGAAGTAGATAGAACACACATTGAGACAATCACCCAACTGCGTCACAAGACAAGGCCTCACATGGAATCCTGAAGGACAACGGATAAGAGGTAGATCAAAGAACACATTTCGCAGAGAAATGGAGACAGACATGAGAAGAATGAACAAAATCTGAATATAATTAGAAAGGAAGGCCCAGGACAGAGTGGACTAGAGAATGCTGGTCAGCGGCCTATGCTTCTCTTACTCCTATTTTCAGTCTAGTTGATCTTTTATTTTTATATATAAGTGGTCTTAACAACTATATAAAGTTTGATCAGATTGTTCGAATTGTATTGCTCCAGTATATCATCACATAGTTCTGATAATCTTCGTCTTCTTATTACTTACTTACTTACTTACGCCTGTTACTCCCAATGGAGCATAGGCCGCCGACCAGCTTTCTCCAACACACTCTGTCCTGGGCTTCCTTTTCTAGTTCTACCCAGTTCTTGTTCATTCTTCTCATGTTTGTCTCTATTTCTCGGCGTAATGTGTTCTTTGGTCTTCCTCTTCTCCTTCGACCTTCAGGATTCCATGTGGGGGCTTGTCTTGTGACACAATTGGGTGATTTCCTTAAAGTGTGCCCAATCCACTTCCAGCGCTTCTTCCTGATTTCTTCCTCCACTTGATGGAATCTGGTTTGTTGTCTCCCACAGTAACTTGTTGCTGATAGTGTCTGGCCATCGGATCCGAAGTATTTAGCGTAGACAGCTGTTGATGAACACTTGTATCTTCTGGATAATGGCTTTCGTAGTTCTCGACGTCTCCGCCCCATACAGTAGAACTGTCTTGACATTTGTATTGAAAATTCTAACCTTGGTGTTGGTTGACAATTGTTTTGAGCTCCAGATGTTTTTCAGTTGTAAGTATGCTGCTCTTACTTTGCCGATCCTTGCCCTCACATCTGCATCTGATCCACCGTGTTCATCAATGATGCTGCCCAGATATGCAAAGGTTTCCACATCCTCCAAAGCTTCTCCGTCAAGTGTAATTTGATTGATGCATATTGTTTTATTCTTATTACACTATCGAAACTTGATCATGATTACACCCTAACATAAAAAAAATTAATCACTTTCATTTTAATCCTTATTTTTTTTTACAATTTAATTTCTTCTATTACGTAATCATTGTTACTGAGTAACTAATTAACCTATCAACTAATCTATTGACTAAATATACAATATTCCATTTTATCAATCAATAATTACCGATACACACATATAGTGTAAATCCAGAAATCTGTATTACAATTTTCATAGTTCTATTGTGCTTAAATAACTATTATTTAGGTAATAATTTCAATGGCCAATATACATTCTTTGCTTCATTTAATATACTACATATTATTCATTCTTGTATACAGATATATTTATCTATATATGTATATTTATTATAGTTGAAAGCATGACTCAATTGAAGCTAGACCACCATGGAAACACTGGACGGCCGTTTCGTCTTATTATGGAATTCCTCAACAGTGAGCATCACGTATCACGCTTTCAACTATAATAAATATTAAATCACCACAAAACTCCTTCTATAATTAATATATGTATATGTCAATAAACAAGTTGATAGAATTGTATCAGTCAAATAAACTCTTATAATTTATTATAATAGGCCAAATTAGGTCAGTGATTTGAATCAGTGCCTATTATTATTAAGACTTTTTATAACCTTTATGTAATCATAGAACACCAGCATGTTTTAACATTTAACAAAATTCATTCATTTACCGAAATAATATGGATTAGTTACAAGTGATGAAATAGATTTTTATTGGAATTTCAATGATATAAAAGATTATTATTTAATATTACAAAGGGGGTTTTGTGAATATTATAGTAATTAAATAGTTGAGATCATGAGTTATTTGAAGTTAGAACACTGTGGAAAATTTGACAGAGTATATTTGAGGAGTCCCAAAAATAGGACGAAACGGCTATCTAGTGATATCATGTTTCCCATGTTGGTCTAGTTTCAATTGATACATGATCTCAAATATTGAAATTATTTTAATATTCACAAGAACCCCTACTGATATTAATCAACATATAGTCATTAGTAACTGCCTTGAAGAGGTATTTCCTGGAGTTCTAATGAGAAGCAATGACCAGTGGAGTTCAACCGAATCTGTTGTGAGATAGTAACTCACTGAAGACAATGGTGGATGTGTCGCTCGATTTCGTGGATTAGTTGAAGTTAGACATTAACACAGTTGAATGCCGTTCGGCTAAGTAGTTTAAACTTTAAGCGTTCTCGCGCGAGACTAATAGGTCTTGGGTACAAATTCCGCGAGATGGGATCGTTGATACGTGCTACTGAGACGAAACGGTCGTTCAGTGCTTCCATGTTGGTCTAGCTTTAATTAACTCATGATCTCAACTATTAGATTATTATTAATTTTCAAGTGTTCGAATCCAAACGTTGTTGATGTTAAAAATTCAACTTTGATCAATTTCTTTTGGTATATGTAATATCAAATATTTACAACAAAAAGTTTAGAAGTTTTGTGGGGATAATTAGGTTTTCATTAATGAGATTATGGAGTGAGTGAATAACGTATCAAGATTCAAGGCAATCCCTAGTAGATTAGTAAATGTACACTTTTGCCAAGTCCTATACTGAACCAAAACGACTATCCTAGTACTTTCTATTTTTTTAATGATTATCTAACTTAGATCAATCCATGATACAAAACTACTTATAATAAAGAATAAATTTTCTTATTAGATTAACATTTGTAACATACATCTGTATCAAATTAATGGTGATTCATTTCTATATTCTACTGGTTTAGAACAAAAATACTATTTAATGAACATATGTATATCATTGAAAGTGGTTAAATTAACAACAAAAGGAAAGATACCCTTGAACATGATCAATATCACATAGTGTAACGTATATATCATGTTGGTCAGTATGTTTGTTTGAACGTTGGTGAAATGTTTTTTCTTCCCCTAAAATTCTTTCATTGGATTAAAATAAATGTTTTCAGAAGAGGATTTTGGGGAGATTTTAATAATTTTATATAGTTGAGATTATGAGTCAATTGAAGCTAGACCACTATGGAGCCAGTCACTAGTAAGCATATGATCATTATCAGAAGAGGGTTTTGTGGAGCAGATAGAGGCAGGTATCTACCTTAGTACAATGGAAATTGGTCGCGCGATTTCGTGGATTGGTTGAAGTTAAACATAAACACCGTTGGATGCCGGCTGAATAAGTGTTATGTCCTGGGTTCGAATCTCATGAGGCGGGATCGTGGATGCACATTGCTGAAGAATCCCATAATAGGACGAAACGGCCGTCTAATGCTTCCAGGTTTTTCATAGTGGTCTAGCTTCAACTGACTCATGATCTCAACTATATAAAATAAATGTTTGTTTAATTTTTAAATCAAAGGTTATTCATTCCTTAAAGGATTTTTCAATAAGAACGATTTAAGGCATTAAAGATTCACATATAACAGTCATAGTAATAAGCAGTAGTAGTTAAGTAATTTACACTTTTAGATTTATTAAGTATATTAGCTCTACTTCGAAATCTTTAAATAATTTTGTTAATATGCCTTCTTCAAATTCACCCAACAACAGTGATAACTAAAAAATGTCAATTCCGGTGATAACTTTTTCCAGAGAGTTTATCAACAAAAGAATTCACTTATGTTTAAAATAACATCATTTATTTATTTAAACACATAAATATTGGTACAAAGGAGCACCAGATATATATGCGCTACACAAATCTCATTTGGTTTGTGTGAGGGATGTGATACTGCCCAGGTGCTCAAAATGAAACAGGTGGTTTTCTTTGGGGGCCAAACCCGGAATCTTAGAACTAAAAGTCTGATCCACAAGGTAGTGGAGCATCGTGAGGAGATGCAGTCACATGGTAGCCGATGAACAACGATTGATTCATAAGCCATTTGTTCTCTCAGGATACTGGAGACCATGTGCACCGTTGGTTTGAAATCAGGGTTTTCCAACTCCCCTAGGTGAACTAGCCGTGTCCACCAACCCGGTTACAGCGCTGAACATTCGCTTTTCGTCCTCTCAATTTTGTAAACAACACTCCCTCCACGAGAAGGCAGTGATTAGGACTTTCCTGGCAGAGGTTATATACGCGTGATGATGTGAGAGCATTTCGATAGGGAGAGCGAACTCTCTCCACTCTCGGCCGTACCAGGGCATTTGGTGCAGAATAACATCAAGAGATTAATAAAAGTTCAGGTTTATACAATGGTATAGTTAGATTGAGTTTAAAGTTTATTCTAGTATTTGAAGGATATGATTTTTTTATTTCACTTGTTTTTCAGGGCATAAGGAATGTGTGAATATCTTACAGCCTGAGGTTTGTACATTTCTATGATTATTGGTTTAATCTTGAAAGCATTTCGATTTCAATGACTAATGTTTGTTAAACTTTCGTGCAGAACTATATTATTTAACGTCATTTTCAGCTGTTTGCAACTGATGAGAGGCCATGAAGTAGAATGAATTCATTTTACCCCGTAAACCTTGTTGTTCTTAGTGTTCCTTCTAGTTTTCTTAGTAATAACAATTTCAGATTGACCTCATTTTATGGTTTCAGAAATTTATGAATGACCTTGTCATAGAGTTGTTCTACGTCCCGCAAGATACATCTCCAACCGAGTATGAAAGTGAAAATAATGGAAAAATGACTAGAAATCTGTAATTGATAAACCAAATAAAGTATACACAAATCGTTGGTATCTATGCATCTGTAATTCTGATCCAAAAATGTATTTCGGTTACGCTTCCTGATCTGTCATTTAAACTTGCAATGGTATAACGTGGCTACGTGATTTACTTAGACTCGCTTAGCCCATACAGTTATAACCTTTGAACAGCTCCCATATCTACCATTTTCGTTGAATACGCTATGAATACTGAATACTTCTGATCTTCATCTTGAATAAAACCTATGATCAGAAGATACAGCAATATAAAAGAACATCATGATGAGGTTGATGAACAAATACGAAAAGTGCACTAATGATATGACTAACAATGCCTGAAAAGAAAGATATCGCTGATAAACTGCAGTGTCATGTCTAATTCTTGGTGATCAAATGCTACCGATGCAGTCTGGATTGGATGAATAACACTAATTTACTATGTACAGATTTATGTACTTGACTTCAAATCAAAATCTAAGTACGAGAACTAATGATGCTATTTGGTCGCCTATATTGAAGTAGATAGAGCATGGTTCGAACGTGAGAGTGGGTGGTTATAAGTTGAACGTCTTGATCATTGATACATCGCTCCTTTTGTATTGACAGCAAATAACTGATATTTGTTAACAACATAAAAAAAGATTGAAGAGGAAACACATTAACTGTCAGTTATATATTTCTTAGTATATTTCATGTATATATATATTCCTGAATAACTCAAAACCACAATTAAGTCAATCAGGAGAAAAAGGCAGAAGGAATCAAAAACGTAATATAACAAGAACAAACTCAAAGAAGAAGGAGAAGTACGAAACAACTAGTTATTCTTTGCGTTGTCATAAATATAAAAAAAATGTTGGCAAATGTAAATAAACATGTGAAAGAAATGATACACACAGAAGATATGGGATAAATACAAATGTTTCTTTCATTTTTTGTATAGAATTCTATTAATAAGTAAGAACAAGGAATGAAAGTGAAGTCAAACAAAAGGAGGAAAGGAGAGATAAGTACACACAAAACAAAGCCATGTATACATTTGACTACAAAAGTTAATCGAAAAGAAAGAAGAAAAACAAATCAAATAACATAAATAGTGAAATTGGATTAATCACAGGCCTGCTATTACTGCACATTTACTGGTGTAACTTGAATAATGAAAATAGGTTTAACATTGACAGGAAAAGTTCAACTCGAAGTTTTTTTCTAATAAAAAAAAATACGAGTTAACATCTAATGGAACTATTATTATCGGTGACATTGTCACCACCATTATTTTTCTTTCCTGATAGATACAACAAGCTAGTGATGAGAAAAACAAGATGCATTATGGAATTTTATAAACTACGAAACAAAGAGAAGAACAGAAAGATTTAGCTAAACACACTAATCATACATAGAGGTATGTCAATAGGTAAATAACATGCATCACTGTTAACTTATTATTATTTTCAAGATAAACTACTAACAATTGTGTAAGTAGTATGCAAAATAAATGATAAAAAAGTGATGGGTGGGGGGGATAGGTCTGTTAATTTGTTGATTCGGTAAAATATATGGGAATTCACGCCTATCATGAAAGAAGAGACAAATAATTACAGTTAAAAGATGTTGAAACAAATGAACAAACAAGTTTTTTTTCTTCTTCCTCTTCAACATTAATGAATCATTCGTAATTCAGATAATTGTACATCACCTACATTTTTATACTCTACATGAATAGATGTGTTTATAGTGTGTATAAATTAGTGATGATTGTGATGATAGTAATAAGAATGCATAAGAGGAATGTATAATTTTCAATTATAAATTGTGTAATTCATAATAACAATTATAATGATAATAATAACAGAAAATCAACAGGATACACACTCACTCTCTATTTCTATTTTTAGTTCCCAGTTTTATAGTGATTACACGGAATGCATGAGTTATGTGTGTGTATGTGTATGCGTGCAATGGTGTCAGATTCTCTGACTTATGGACTTACTTTTTATTTTAAAAGCAATTGTCTGATATTAACTGTAATGCGCTTGATTATTGTAATCATCATTATTATAACAACAATAACAAACATTATAATGATAACATAATGGTAATGATAAACAATAAAAGAATCAGAAGTGTAAGGAGAAGCATAAACAAGTAAATGAAATAGATAAATAGATAAATATTTGTTTATTTGTTATTTTCATAATGCAATACGTCGTCTAATACCAATATTTGTAACCAAATGCAAAACACGAGATTCTGGCCAATCAATCCATACTTCTAAACGATCTGGTAGTGTAGATTGATTTTTATTCATGTCATTATTATTAATAAATTCATTACGTGATAATGATGAAGTGGAAGATGGAGGAGGAGGAGGAATTAATGGTGGTACAGGATGAATAGATAATGGTTTAACTTGTTGTCCACCCATACCAAAAAATCCAGTTGTATGTAGCTATTTAAAAAAAATGCAGTAAATAAAAAAATTATGTATGAGTGAGAGAGAGATATTCGTCGGCTAATATGAAGGATGAGTTTAGTGTTCAACAATTCCTTTCGTTCTACTTAAAAAATTATCTTCTTTAAAGAGAGAGGATCTTCGGAGGTTACTGGTATTTTATCACAGGGACCAATGATCAAGAAATTCCTAGGTTAGATGATTAAGATATATATATTACGTACGTTCATTCACCGATAACCTCGACGGGCGATTATGGCTGGTGTACAAGTAGGCTGGAGGAAAGTCAGGGGCAGCTACACCAACACATGGAATCATTCAACAAAAATATCAGCTATTGGACTGAGCCATTTAAGTAAGTGAATACTTCCTGGTTGTCATTCACGTTGTTATCGTAATTAATGTTTAGAGACTTTTGGGTAACATGGTTCAAAATTCTTCGCAAAGACACAATTGTATTTACTCTTTGTCTTTCTTAGATCCTACATTTGTAAATTTCCCATAAATCTTTTTGTATTCCACTTGTTTATAATTTCAAGGATCGTATATTCGACCACTAATATCTTTACTCCCTCTACTTTCCTGACATTCATACAGACAATTTTCTCTCACTGTTCTGATAAAGTATGGCAACTTCAACTGATGTACATATATGACAGGTATTACTTTATGTTTGATAGACTGATACGTTTTAACTAGGTAATTATTATACACTTGAGAACTATGGTATTCTCCTGTACAACTCTCATTGTTAACTTTCATTTCACTCAATGTTCGAGAATTCAACAATATCACTCGGAAAAGTCTCTACAAGGTCAGAAAACATCACCAAATGTTTAATTCAATCAGTTTTTAATTCAAACTTATTAAAAATACAGAAAAATCAAGAACCCCATGCCAAATTTCGATTCAATGGTTAACTATACTGTTACTGTGTTCAGCGTCTCCAGAAAGTTCTATAACATCAAGTTCATATGAAACATAAGAAATATACTCGATTTTTATACATAAAAACTAACCTTAAACTGAAGCGCTTACTTACATTTCGCACCTTTTCCCCACTGTTCAAACTGAAGTGCAGAAATAGTCAATGATTATAGGAAACATCTATGAAGCCAGCAATAAGTGTTCAAATCGTAGACTTATAAGTAGTTAACTGATGTTATTTGTTTCACCGTTTCTCAATTATTGTTAATTATCCACCCACTGTATTGTTTTGTGTCAGTTATGTACAAACCGTTATTTTTTATTTTTAATGTATTTTAGTAATATAACTGATGTATATAATCCGATGACTTGTTAGAGATAATGCACTCTCTGTCAAGGCATGTTGAGGATGCTAAATCTCCAGAACTCACTTGGTAAATGACTTATTTTCGTAATTTTATTTTGAAAATTTGAATTTCTTTGTTTTCGCGCCAAAAGTGCTCAATTCACCTTTGAATCGTATTTCCCACTTGGAAATATTTCAAACGCTATCGGTCCGTTATATCTTTTAGTGTGCTATTTTGTAATGCTTCTCAAGGACAATTTTATGCTGTATATATACGTTTGATTTCTACCTATTGTGATTGCTGTGCTTCTAGCTGCTTACGGAATATATCTTCCTCAGTTCCAACTTGGACTTCTTACTCTAATTAGCTGGGTTTGGGAAGCGTCAGAATAGCTAGCTTATTAGTCTTTGGTTACAAGTCTTTGTTCCGTTCGCTGACTAAGTGAATTCGAAACCGCTTCAGACATAAGAAGGCAATTATCGATTTTTAAGTGAGATAGATGTAGATTCATACTTTGTTAATTATCGCATCAGTGCATACTCAAAAACACTAAAGACAGGGGAAACAACAAAAGTTTTATATTGACGACGATATCTTTGAACAATTGAGTTGGAATTCATTAGTAGACATCTCCAACTTCAAATAATTAACTATGAAATATTCTCTGCTTTTATAAAACGGTATTACAACTAACAATGATACTCATTATAGAATTTATTTCAAGATTTCGCTAGATTTCAAGAGTAAATGAGAGAGAAAAATCATTGAAAAGAAGCCAGAAACAATAAGATGAAACAAAAAAAAATTACCTGCCATATACGTAGTGTACTTTCAGCCAATGAATAAGTTGCTACTTGTCGACCATCAGAATTAAAACAAATAGCAGTGACGGAACCTTTATGCCCCATTGTTACCTAAATGTTCAATGATAATAATATAATAAGCTTAGTAATCTACACAAGTAACACCTTTTTTTGTTTCACGAAAGAAAAAGCGTGTGAGGTTATCCATTATCCTTCCCAATGTTCAATAAATGTGTCGTATCCAACATTTTCGTCGATTTTTCCGCTCATTGAATTGGTAAGTATTGTTTGAAAATATAATCCTTACTGGAGATTTAAATTTTAAGCCCAAATTCTCACCATATTTTTTGTTTAGTAGCTAACACATTGAGGTATGCTATATTGATATGTTCACAGTAGACAGATATAGATACCCTTAGATGTTCGGAATGAAAGTACAGTGAAAATTACACTCTTCTAAACAACACTAATCCAGTACATGAACAAAGGATAGTCCGAAATTGGTTATAACCACATACATTAAAAACTGAAAAGCGGCTAGACAAATCTTGCACGAAAAACTACTATGTACATCATATAAAGAATTAATTATGATCCTGACATAAATGAGCGGATTTAAATTGCTAATATACGAATCAATAAACGTATGATTGTTACCCATATGTTTAACTTAATGAATGGATATCACACAAGTTAAAGCCTTACTGTAGTGAACAAAACACCGGTTGGGACAATCAAATGTATTTAGGCACAAATTACAGACTATCTCACTAAATTCTGATAACCATACAGCAAACAGATTATTTGCAAATTAACAAACAATTGTCTCAATCTTAAATGTTCCTTCTGTAAATATCAGTTCATCTTCTCTAATTTCATTTTTCATGCATTTTCCTACCAATTGCGCTTCATTTTAGTTCTTTTCTTATCGGTCTTCTGCCAAAATACATTCTATGTCTAACCATCACCAAATACTACTTATATGGATATAAGTAGACCACACTACATCACCAATAACTATGATAAGTCAATACTTGAGAAAAATATAACTGCTTATATACAATTTATAGTAATAGATAACTATAATGGAAAAGAAATCAAATAATTTATGCGAATGGGTTCAAAAACTATCCAATAAAGTTGTTCCGATAATTATGTAAGAATAATGAATCAAAATGTTCTTCAGTAAAAGATTTTTTTTCTACTGTAAAGTGTTCATTCCTACTTTAATCACTTTTTTATCAGTTCTGTAGAATTGTTTGTTAATCCCAACACTATTAAAACTTACCACAGTGAATACTTTCAGTTGGAAGTCATAAACAAACTCTACAAAACTTGGATGTTAACTGGTTTTTATCATTATTACCTCATGAAATGAAACTATACGAATATCAGCATGACTCTAACAAAACTTACAAAATATCGTCCAATTTTAAAATCATAAAATGTTAAAGAACCATTAACACCGCCTGTACATGCTTTCTGTAAACGTGTATGACTTGAATATGCATGGAAACTAAAATAGAAAAGAAAGTGAGAAAAAGTAGAGAGATAGAAAAATAAACAATAACACATCAATGTGGTGTCAGTTACTTATGTTTGTCGAGATAAGTAGTATATCACATCAATCAGAAGTGGAATGCTTGGCAGAAGAAGATTGAGAAGGTCGAATTGAAGAGAATAGAAATGTAAACAGAGAATAATTTCAATAAAAACAGAAAGGAAGGAACGATGAAGTTTGTAGGAGATAATTGGTGGAAGATGTGCATATGAAGTATTTAATGTATGGTCTTCATAATTTACAAAGACACTGTAATTTTGCACTAAACAATGAAATAGTAGTCTCCATGTGAGTGTTCGTTCACTACAATTATAATAATAAGAGTAAAACCGCGAAGCAATTGTTGACAAAACACACTCAAAGGAACGCAAATTTCAAATTTCGGTAAAGTAAAGTTACACAGATCAGGTGAATGCTCTAAATATATTACATTTACTGAAGTAGATAGACCGATTCAAAATCTTTTATTTTCTCTCTGGACAACACTAACGTCTACTTCATGTAGAAGTAGTTTTAAAAAAAATATTCTATAAGCGGTAAACTATTTTATTCTAATAGCATTGAGCACGATTGGTGATTCTTAGTAGGTTTTACTGGCTTAATTTATTCGTGTATGCATCGACTTTACTTACATGAACCACTAAAACTCCCGAAGTACTAGATAACTGTTTCATCCTAGTCTAATAATATTCAGCAGTGTGTATTTGCGACTGAATGAATTTGTGGAACAAAAAGTATGAGAATGTATAGAAACCCAAGATCTAAGAACAAACAAATAGTGTATGAATCTGAACCAATGTAACTGACTTTGTACAATATTATGCAACATCTATAACCATTGGTCATAATAATTGTAGTTGATTATGAAAAATCCCTGTTTTCATGCTGCAAAAACCTGTAAACAATAACTCAATATGAGGTTTAAATCAAAACCCAGGACAATCAACAAGCCAGCTTTAGATCATTCATCCAAGATCTCATAATAATCCACATTTTATAGTTCATTCAACATCGATAATGACTAAGGTGATTGGAGGTAACCAGTAGGAAACCCTCCTTGTAACATTGAGGGAACAGAGGTCCTCTGTTAATGACTGTGATATCCTAACCAAAAAACAAGTTCAACCAAGTGATCAACGAGCTAATGTTTTCTTACGAAATCAATCTGTATCACATCTCATTGTTGTACGACTAATGGAGCCCTGATATAGTGCAAAATAAATTGCTAAATACGTTGTCGGTGATAAAATAAATCGCCGATTCTATAAACAGTAACTCAATTTTTCACAATAATTAAAGGAAGAAATTATTATTTTCCAAACGATTCAATAATTTAGCACTTACGGTGTTAGCGCAGGAAATATATAATCTAGTCCACGTTCTTTTAAACGTGTACGATCAGAACAAGCTAAGATCACTTCAACAACTTCCGGTAATACATCTTTAATATCATTTGGTCGTCGAATACAAAGTTGTTCAAATAAACGTAATACTTCTTCACGAGCTTTAAACATTGGCGGACATTGTTGATTAGACAACACTGAAGAGTCTGTACCTACATTAAGAGAAAATATTGCAATAAATTTATGTGAATTGTTAAAAATTTGGAAGCTTGCACTTTATAATCAGTACAGTAAGTCATTTACCAGATGCAAATTCGTGTACTTGGCTTTGAGTTACGCACTAATTATGAGAAGTTAATGATACTATCCGATAGCTCAAACCGGAGTAACTGGAGAGTACAAGATATTTCAACAAGTCCACTTTTCATTTTGCTTGATCGATCCTGAAAATAAAGATTGAAATCTTGATACTGGGTAATAATCTTGTAAATCATTTAATCATGATTCTTGAATTGTGATTACATCAAAATTACGACTTATGTTTAAACTTAATAAGAATCAAAGATCAAGAATCGGCGTCTGATTAATGTTTATTCCTTTCGATGCATAATCCTAACTACCGTGGTGTCTTTGATTGTACTTTTTTGAACCATATACAGTAAAAGGTCAGTCATTGATTTTACCTTAGTATTGGTTTTTCTTAAGCTAAGTGGTAAAGTGACGTGAGCTTGACAAAAAAGCTAAAAGCTTTTGGTTTGATACCTGATAGAGGGTGGTTTGTGGGTACACACTAATGATAAATTATACGAAAATGGATAAAACAGCTATTTAGTGTTTTTTGTGACCTACGTCGTATTTAGGACTTAGCAACTGGATGTACCTAGATTAACTGCAAGCCACTTTTCATCCATTTTATAAAAATATCAACTGTCTGTATTAATTCAGATTTAATGCAATCGGCCAATCAGTCAATCCAAAGCAATGTGGAACCTGGGACATTAGTACATTGGGTCGAATTGCCACAACCAAATGGCACATCGAGAAAACATTGTCATGGAAAATCCAAAAGTAGTAAAGTTGCTAACAGCATTGATGTTTACTTTCACAAAAACAAATGATCTAATGTGTATTGACGAGCTCATTATCTAGATTTTTCAGACGATTATAGACCAAAAAATTTCTTTGAGAAAAGCTATTCAAATACATGACAATCATACGGAACAAAAAGTCTTAGATAAGTAAGAGTCAGATTTACCTCCATATCCAGTAGTAGCATATCGATTTGAATTTGTTCCAGTATTACTACCACTGACACCAGCATTAGAGCTGAAGACAGGTGTAGCTACAGTTGGATTAGTCATCATAACTACCATGTTCGATGAAGCAGTTGAAGACTGAAATTCATTTCCAATAGTTATTGAATCACGACGTGACACAGTGACTAGATGATGATTATCAGAATCTTTTGAGAGCGATTTTGTTAAACTCCATGATGATTGAATATGATTTGAATTCGATGGAGATGATGTTGAAATTGATGATCGACCAGAGTTAGATGTTATTGCTGAAGCGGCTGCATTAATTTGAGCACCGAATCGTCGAACTTCAAGTGATAATGCTAGAGTAATCAATTTCGGTCGTGCAAATCCAATAGCCCATAAAGCTTCACGTGCTGTACGTGCTAAATCAACACGATCTGAGATAAGTTGACATGATTTATTACTGAATAATAAAAATAAACCAAAATTAAAATACAATTAACGTTTAATGATAAGTTTAGTATAAAAATTATATAACAATAATACTATGAAAAGTGATGACCACTGTCGACCATGATAGAAAGAGAATGTACTTGTAAGAGTAACTATTAAAAAATGTACATTGTTTACATTAGAACAACACATATATAAGCAAACAATCATTTAAAAGAAGATATTGGTCAAGGATTACTTAAATACAGAGTATTATTCATAAACCAGAACAATCAGAGTATTTGGATCGTATACCATCACGTTTTCCCTAGTAGATTTTAAGCTCATCTCCTACTTATAGCAGAAAAAACTGCAATCAATCCACGATATTAAGCGGCCATCTTCGGTAAGTAACTGGCTCATACTCAACGAGAAAGTGTGTAGATTTCTTCTTGAGCAAAAACGCACATTGTAAAGTAATGAGCCCGACACCTTAACTGTGTACTTGTAATTATGAAATAACTACATATATCATTACAAAATACTTTCATGCTACTTAGAAAATATCAGTAGCACCAAATTAAATAACACAAAATTCCATGTATCCATAAATTTACGAGACAAGTGGGTCAGAATAGCGCATTATTTCGAGAAATGCATGGAGTTACTTACCTTGACAACAACATTTCAGCATCGGCAGCTAACAGGAGTAAAACATTGATCACATGCCCAACATCAACATACGGTTCCCAGACAGGAAAACCACGACCTAATAAATCAATTGCAGCTCGTCTCAATGTACTGTTCATATTCGATGTTAGTAATGTAATCAAGGCATTGGCTGCATGTACAGGTAATACTTCAGAACGACTGCCAACAATCTGCTCATGGAATTTATTCCAATCAATTTCAGGATTATTAATGTCAGTAGGCAATAAAACTGGATAGCCTGGAAGATAGTATTACAAAGAAAAAGAAAGAATAAATCAAATAGAAAAAATGGTAATAATGTGTTCAAAATTTCATCACTCTGTGCTGAGATGGTGTAATAAGTTGAACCAAAATAGATTAATGTCAAGATTCCAAACTATCTAACAAGGTAAGTATACGATAAATCAATAAATGAATACAAGACTTTTAGACAGTTTTTGGTCCACACTGATATCACTTAGAGAGTCATTGAAAATCAAGTAGAACGGGATAGTTGCCTAATCTAGAAGTATGGAGATTTAAGTTTCTGATTCCTCGCTCAATAGTCTAGAAGTAAATTGTACACCGTGATACATATAAGTGGTCCGTGGTTTGATTCGATATGGAATAGTAGTGAACGTGTACCGCGACTGAGCCCAAAGTCGGAACAAAAATAGCATTTCAGTTGTTTATATTCATTATATTCCTATATAATGTTTGCTTAAATCTTCCCATTGATCTTAAGGACTGCAAATAATCAGCCTCTTTTGAAATATGTGGATCCTGTGTGACTTACCTCGATATTGCCGTTAAGTCACAAGCATTTTAGACAGAGTTGAATGGTAGCTTACAGTGAAATCCAGGACTCGTATGTGTACTATTTGTAACTCGTCAGTTGGGTGTACCTACAACCGAATGTTGATGATCGAAACAACTGAGTGAACATCAACTCTAGTATGCAGGTATATAGAGATAACGGGTCGCGAATAGGACGAAAAGCACATCTTGAATTCAGCTCTGCTTAAACCATAATATTCCAAGTTTCAATGAAGAATTATTTGAAGTTGAAGTAATGAGTCAATTGAAGCTAGACCACCATCGAAAACCTGGAAGCACTTGATGGCCGTTTCGTTCTATAATGGGACTCCTCAGCAGTGCGCGCCCACGATCCCGCAGTCGCGAGATTCGAACCCAGGACCTACCAGTTACGAGCCAGAGCCCTTAACCGATAGACCACAACTTTGAAATATACTGAAATCTTCACAAATCCCCTTCTAATTATTTGAAGATCATATTGAAGCATTATAAACGAATGTAAAATGTGTTTATTAATCAATATAAGTGCATCAGATGAGTAGTCGAGCCGTGTTTTTACAAAATTGGATGATCATTGAGTATCAACCAATGTTATGGTTGTTTAGTTTAGATTATTGCTGGAATTATATCGATTAAATTTCAATATAGTTACTAGACTATGCGATTCAACATTGTGTGCTTTTTAGACACCCGGAGATAATTGGTAAGAAGGTGTAGGAGTAAATTTTCTGTTACTCGACACGTCAGAGTAAGATATACCTGAAATCCAGAGGGAATCAATACTCCATCATCAATACCACATCATTGCATAATGTCGTAGTTAAAGACGTTATCAAGAAACCTAGGGTTCATAGTTCTTTTCCAGATACTCAAAGTCCCTTAATATTAAACCATAGATGTTTTCTTTCATTTTTCTCTTTCGAATTCATATCTTGGGTAATTGAAATGCTTATTACTCACATTTATGCATGGTTTCTTCTTTTACATTAATTCGAAAACAACCCACCTACAGGCTAATTGCAAACCTTTCATTCTGAATCAAGTAGCGGATTGAGTCCATTGTATAAAAAGCGCATATATCAGGATCAGAATCCGACAACCGTCCAAAATAACTTAAGTTGCAAGTACGCATAAGCTACTCTGACAGCTCTTAAAGTGAGTTTACAGTGGGAACTGCATTGAAACACTTGATTTTTAAATGAAAATACATCGTTTCATCAACCGATGTTTAAACAGGTAGATATTTTTCTCGCATTAAGTGTTTATTTAGTTAAAGCAGTGTCTCAAATAATTAAAATCAAAATTTATTCACAACCGATCAAAATAATCACATAGTACATCACGAAAAACTAATCAAAGTTTGGATATATAAGAAATCTTGTTAGGAAGACTACAGGTTATCTAATGTTTTTAAATAAATGCTAGTTTCTTTCGGTTAGTGATAAATAGGAGTACAGTTATATTAGTTCGCTTACCCTAAATAACTGCAACCGGTTGCCATCACCTTTAGTTCTTTTTGTGTGCCAAGGCCATATTTTGTTGCTATATACACAGAATTATTCTACCTTAATTTCGTCTTTATTTAATGTCAGGCTTTTTCTGCACTCTTACCTTTATATTTATATTCTATTGTTTTAGGATTATTGTTGGTGTTCCGTGTGTGTCAGTGGTAACACTATCTAGTTTGCATCAGTTCCTGATAGTATTAAGAGAATCTCAGTCATTCGTTATTAGCAAATATAATTCATAATTATCAAACTTGTTCGGTTCCGAAACTATCAGTATGTAATCATTTTCTTTTGTTACATCCCAGCTACACTTATTTCTCAAGTATTTTCGGACACTACTTTACTCGACAAGTCCCCATATCAGAATACAGTTGGACAGGAACGTAATTATGTTTCCAATAACAAGGTTGGATGAAAGTAGGAATCACAACAAAAAAAACGTTAACATGTTCATGATTTTTACATAAGAAGATTTGAGAATCTTCTCCAAGTTTCCGCTAGCGTTGATAAATTAAGAAATAGCCGATTGGTGTGCCCCAACACAATTTTTTTAAGAAACATGTTTTAATCCAATTTATAATCCGCTAACACAGAAAATCCAACATTGTAAATATCAAATATATCTAAACGGAGAATTACATTGAGATACTTTTATGTGATCTAATCCAAAATACCAAAATCACTGTAAAGTTTCTAATTGAGTTAGAATAACAAAACACACCATATGAAAGGTCATACCAATCATTGATATGTAAATGTTACATTCTGCATGAAAGTTGTTTCTTTTTAGATAAAAATTGAGTACAAGTATATTCTGCAGTGACAACAAAACGCCGCCTCAAGTTGTCAGAACATATCAACACAGAGAGAGAAAACTGTGTGCGACGACATAAGCAGTGGTTAAGCATCAAACTGTGCGAATACTAAGGTAAGAAGTTCAATTTATAAAATTTTATTTCAATTAGAAAACAAAAACACACACAAAGTTCATACACATACCTCCATTAAACAATAAAGCTGATAAACACTGATAAGTGGATCTAGCAAGATAATGATTATCCAATCCGAAACCATCTTGTATCTCAGATGATTGATTACTTGTGTATTGTGAGAATTTTTGCACAGATAATGGAACTTCTTCTGATTGATTAAATGGAACTTGCATTGCCGCTATTTTGGTCATTTCTAATTTTTCCCTATCATCGTTGTCATCATTATCAGGTGCAGCGAAACATGGTGATGCCAAACCGCAATTAGAATAATTCATTACTTCATATGTTCGATTCTTAGTCATAACTAATGGTTGAGTGATCAAGTCACGTACAACAACAGCTGGATGACGCCGTTTAGTGGATGAACCAAAACGTACACCAATTACGCCCATTAGCATAATAGCTATAGCCTTGTGAATTACATTGAAAACAAACAAGCAATAAGGTTTATGATTAGTTTAACCCCCTGTTTGATGTAAACAATTAAAAAATTAGTAGAAAAAAAAATACGCCAAATACTTGAGACAAACACTACTACAAAAGTGTAACTATAGACCGTAAAGTCATTTGTAAAACATACTAGTTGTAATACCTACAGACAGGTAGATCAGTTACTACACAAAGAAAGTAAATAAGAAAATGTCTTTAAACTTGACAAACAATTGATAGCCATTGTAAATCAATAGACAAAATGAACAAAGAACGAAATTTTACAGGGATATCAAGCTTTGGAAATAGCAATTAAGAATACATGAACCGGTGAAAGTGTATTTGATCAAAATAGAATTTAATGAACTATTATTGAACTTATTATTAATATAACAGTTACATTAATTTAAAAACAGTCTTGGTATTTCAGTTATACGGTAAATAATTAGAATAGCAAAGACAAAAGTTCGATTCCGAATCTAATAATCACAGATATGCACTGTGAAGTATCTATGAAAACTCGACAAAAACAGGTTTCCAATAGTTGAAGACGATTCAACCGATTAACAACTCTGTGGCAAGAAACATTGGAAAATTATAATTAACTACCATATAAACGAGGCAAGTACTTGATGGCAACTCGACAATAACTCGTAAAATAAAGAACAATTTCTTGCTTAGTGACTACTTTTTTCATCTTGGATGGTATTTAATCTATTAAATAACATAAACCACAAAATTCTATTGAAATACAATATATATGTAGATGTGATTGGAGACACAATGATATACAATGATCCTATTTTCTAAGATCTGTGTAATCGAGATTTACATATTCATTACACGAAGAAATTATCCATTTAGATCAAAATAACAACTGTCCCAATAGTTTCACCAATCAGCTGTGCCATTGAAATAGTTGAAAATAGATTATTAAAGACAGAAATACAGAAAACAGCCGAATAAAACTGATGCATTGTATAACTCACTTAGACTAGGTGTTGGTGAGTGAGTACAACAATTAATAATGTATTACGTAATCAACTGAATCACATCTCAAGTACAATGAGGCATATATCAATTTAAAATCGTATACAACCAATCCAACAGTAAAATATTCTATAACTAAATAAAACAACCAGACTACCGTAACTATAATAAAACCATAAAATTCAAAAAGAAAGCCAAACAATAATCAGTAGATAAATTTACACTACTGAAATATACTTTAAGTAGTATCACTTAGATATTTTTCAATAAATCATTAAAGTCGATCAATTAAGGCGTTGCGAATTCAATCAAGATATTTAAATCAATTCAACTTTGAGACTATTTACCAAACTATTAAGAAAAAAGGCGCACAATCGTATTCGGTTACGGATGGCAAGTTAAATGTGTTAAATATGTAAATTTAATTGGAATGGATTTTGTAGATTGTAGTGTTATTACCACCCAATACTACTATTTTTATCACTTGAAATCAATAAATCGATTAGAGAATATCAAAGAAAGGTAGGATAGATTGACTAAAGTTCATCGTCACAATGAACTATATAGCACAGGTATATGCTAGAGAGAGAGATTATGGTGTGGCTTTTTGAGGTAGGTTGGTTAATAAGTAGGTGTAAATAAACAAGAACACACTATTCGATCAAACTTGATGAGCTATACAAATAGTTGTTATAGAATGAATGGATGAAATTTGTGAATACCAGTTCAAAATGTTGTAATGTAATGATAAACACAATTATGTGAAAAGCATAAAAACAAAATTTGACAATGAAAATGACTGTATATTTGAATTGTAGCTAGCAATGTAATTTAGGATGTCCATTTCAGCTTATTTGGAACTTTTTAGTTAGTTATAACTGAATCCCAGTGTTGATGTTTAATATTCCACCTCAAACCCCGTGTCAACTCCTAAGTTCAGATGGTCATTTGTTCATGTAATAGGCATAATTTTTATTCGTAGTTTTGTATTGTCTTGGTATTAAATATATCAGGATATTATGAGTATGGTGACTTGTGGAGATTGCAGTATTTTCTCAGTTGGATTCACGCATCATTGAAAATCTGGAAGCACTGAACGGCCATTTCGTTCTAGTATAGGACTCCTCATCAATGAGCACCCATGATCCCACGAATATCAGTTGGATTGTTAGTTAAAATATAATGTCAATCAGTGTAATCTCTTTGATGGGGAGTGGATATAATTTCAAAAATGTATAACATTTGGTTCTTAAATCACGCAAAACTAACAATGAAAATACCTTTGTATAGTGCTCAAAACGTTTAAAATTTGAATGAAAAATTATTTTTTGTTTTCACAGTGTAAAAATAACTTACTTACGCCTGTTACCCTTCGTTGAAGAGCATAGGCCACCCACCAGTATTCTCCATTCAAACCTGTCTTGGGCAGTCCTTCCCAGTTCTTTTCAGTTGACATTCATCCTTTTCACATCTGCTTCTATTTCCCAGAGTAATGTGTTCTTTGGCCATCCTCTTTTTCGCTTCCCTTTTGGATTCCAAGTTAGGGCTTGCCTCATGATGCAGTTTGATGATTTCCTTAATGTATGTTCTATCCACTTCCAACGCCTTTTCCTAATTTCCTCTTCAACTGGAAGTTGGTTTGTCCTCTCCTATAAAACTCTGTTATTGATAGTATCCGGCCAGTGAATGTTGAGTATTTTGCACAGACAACTGTTTATAAATAGTTGTACCTTCTTAACGATGGATGTAGAATTCCCCACGTTTCAGCTCCGTACAGTAGAACTGTTTTGACGTTCGTATTGAAGATTCTCACTTTGAAGTTAGTTGACAGTTGTTTTAAGTTCCATATATTCTTCATACTTTCAAAATACAAGCGATTATTTCTTATTTTGAACGTTTGAGCATCTTTTCACTTTCAGTATTAATGGTACAAATTTGTTTTACTATCAATCTTCAATTCATATTTCTGAAACTTTTTCAAAACAACTCATTTACTTTACAATCGTTTGGTCATTTTCAACAACTCACATCATGATCTGGAACATATATCTAGTGCTCCCTTGTACCAATATTTATGTGTTCAAATAAATAAATAAATAAAAATACATCATGATCTGATCTTAGTTGTTAGACATTCTTTGAAAGCCAGGATGTATTGAAAAGCAGTTTCATCCTAGTGTGCAATGCTTCAGTAGTGTGCATCCACGATCCAACAGTGGATTCAAACTAGAACCGTCAAGTCTCACTCCGAGTGCTAAACCATTTAAACCCCTGAGTTGGACGTGAAAATGTAAGACCCTGGTTGTAGGTGTATATTACTGAGGCTTAGTATACTAGGATGACATAACTATTCAGTGATGCCTCGTTTTCAATAGTTGTTTAACTAAGATCAGTTAGTGATACTAACCATATAAGAAAATTATAAAATTCAACAATCCACAAAAACACCCACATCTCCGATTCTCCCTTTTATCACTAATTTAGATCCATAATTGTGTGTAGAATCCGATAGGAATTCATAAATGAACAAAAAAGAGGGATATTCCTTATTCTTCTCATCTGTAATTGTTCAAAAGTCAATTGTGCATATGATTTCATGACTCTATAGTGCAAAAATAGGATAAACTGATAGGAGAACATAAGCTATCAATCAGCTGGCCGATTAGAGCTGAATACACATAAGTGCACAGAGATGAACATGAAGGCACACAAACATACAAGCACAAAGACATTGCAAGAGCACATAAAAGAAAAAAAAAAGGAGCAATACACATGAAGTACACGCGCACGCACACACGCTCAAAAGCAGCATACCTGACACCTTTGTATATCTCTCTGTAAAAGATAGGCCTAATAAAATTAAATTCATGAAAATAGAAAATACTCACACGCATAACCTATGGAAAACTAACACAATAAGTATTAAAAAAGGAGGGCGAAATGACGCATCACATGATGTGTAATGCAGAAACACTTAGATGACGTTATGCGATGAGAAAGTTAGAGATAATAGATAGAGAGTTAGGATTCTGAACTCAAATTATGGCTGAATTGACCGTGTTCAGTCAGGTATCCGTTTACAGATTTCTAATCATCTGGATGATACAATATCCGTAAAACAAATTACATGTTTTTTTTAATATGAATTGTAACTCTATGAAAAAAGTCACTCATTAATTGGACGAATGATATATACGCTTAGTACCTTCTCAGGAAGACACATAAAGTGGAATAAATACATAAAATATCCAATTTTACAGATGGACCATATGAACACTCATAACAAGTTAGATGGAATCCACATTCAAACAATATCACTTTATTAATTTAAGATGATTTGTAACTATGTGCAATTGTCCGCTAGTGTGATGTAATTTATCGATTAATTATGCACATCATATTGCGTAATATTGAAGCTAAGTCTGAGAAAATCATATTGAAATAAATAAGCATAATTTAGTTCTTTAATCTACTTACAAACTATAAATTAACCTTGATTCTATACGTTGTGTTGTCTTGAAACAGTTTTAGTGTAAAAATGTTATTTCACTTAAAATAATTTCAAATTATTGTACTTTTTATAGAGTTAAGATCATGAGTCAATTGAAGCTAGACCACCATGGGAAACCTGGAAGCACTGGACATCCGTTTCGCCCTATTGTGGGACTCTTCAGAAGTGCGCATCCATGATCCCGCCTCACGAGCGAGATTCGAACCCAGGACCTACCAGTCTCACGCCAGAGCACTTAACCGACAGACCATTGAGCCGACCGGCATCCAACGGTGTTGATGTCTAACTTCCATCAATCCACGAAATTGAGCAACCATTCACCAATTTCATCAGTCAGTTGATATCTCACAACAGACCTGGTTGAACTCCATTGGTTACTGCTTCTCACTAGAACTCCAGGAAATACCTCATGGAGACAGTCACTAGTTAGCACAAGATCATTATCAGAAGGGGTTTTGTGGAGATTTTAGTAATTTTTATTTATAGAGTTGAGATCATGAGCTTCAAATGACTCATGATCTCAACTCTATAAATAAAAAATTACTAAAATCTCCAAAAAACCCCTTCTGATATTGTACTTATTGTCACTTTTATGAATACTTGTAAAATAATTTGACTGACATGAATTAGAATCCAATGACAAGTTGCCACACATATGACCTATAGGTTGTAAATTAACCATTTCTGATCCGAATTGTATTAATTCGAGAAAGACTCAAAATAGAAGGATATATTCATCATAAGTTGATCTCAATTGTAGTACCATTGAAAATCAGGGAGTAGTGGATAGTTGCTTTTATCTTAGTATGAGATTGACTTCTCAGTGATGTGATTCCTAATGACAATACATCAACTGATATTAATAATCTGTGACAAATACAATTTACAAATGAAAAAAAACTAGTCTCTACAAAACTCAGTTCAAAGAGAAAAAAGACTCAAAAATTATTCAAAACAATCAACAACATCGTATCACATAGATAGATGTTACTACTTTACTTTGGGAAGAACAGAAATGTATCTTACCTGAAGACGTGCATGTTCTCTAGGTGATATACGATAACCGTTTAATGTCATCCACCATGAACTATCCAGTACCATAGACATATTAAGATTTGATGTTAAACTAGACAAACTAACAGATTCAGTTAGATTCGGTAATGAGTCTGTTGAGAATTGTTGTTTACTTGGTGTACCTTGTTGTTTATCTGATATTAATTGTTGATTGACTTCATCATCAATAATATCATTAGTAGTAGTAGTAGTAGTAGTAGAAATTATAGTAGTACTACTCAACTGTACAAATGCATCTTTATTAGATAAATTCTTTAATTCATTGGATTTGTCATTTTTGTCTAAACCATTCATTGATGGCAAACTTTGCTTACGTACAATTTTTTCTTCTGTATGATTATTATGAGCTAAAATATCTATAATCTGATAACTAAAACGATTCGCGGAATCCAGTGAATTTTGTTGAATTAATTGACGTTGTGATTGTTGTTGTTTTTGATTAGTAAGAGCGAATGGTGGAAGTAAAGCCGACCAATAAGTGACTAACAATTTTCGATCATCCAATGATAATTGATCAAGGCATGAAAGTAATAATGTTCGAGCAGCATACCGAATCTGTAGAGCACAAGAGGAAGACGACACATGAAAGCAAATAAGAAAATGAATTGGATTTACCGACCAAAAAAACCCACAAAATAAATGTTTAATAAAATGAATAGATGAAGATCATCTTACAAACTAGAATGTTAGATACTAAGTATCTGCACCTACGGGAGTTGGGAAACCTTGATTCCCAACTAGTGATGTGTATATGTCTCCAAGTTTCTAAGGTAAAGAAATGGCTTATGAATCAATTTTGACTATCAGCTACGATAGGATGTCTCCTGAAATCGCTTTACTGTCTTGTAGATTATACCTTTAGATTAAAGGTTCGGAGAGTGACCCTCTACAAAAGCCACCTGCTTCGGATTGAATTTCAAGCTATACCAGATGGTCTCCTAAAAAGAACAGAGGGAGATAGGATATTTACTGGACCATCGCTTCATCCTAATGAATATTTATATATCCGAAATACCACCGGATTTTGCATTCAGAGCCCTAGGGTTTCGTAAACACTACCTCATACTGAGAATTACCATGCGCTCACTAGCGACTAGCTTCGAGAGGGAATTCCTAGGCTTCTAGTGAGAAGTTATGACCAGTGGGGTTCAGTCGTGTCAGATGTGATGAAGTTTCCCCCCGAAAACAATGGGAAACAGTCGTGCACTAATGTGGACTGATCGAAGTAAGACTTTTATACCATTTGATACCGATTTAGTAGTCTTCAGATAAAGCATCCGCACCCAAGACCAGAGGTTCCGGGTTCGATTCCCAGCCATGAGGTCATGCATACACACTACTGAACAGTTCCATACCAAGACGAAATGACTATCCAGTGATTCCAGGTTTCCAATCATTATCTAACTTAGATAAGTTCTTAATCTCAATAAAATAAACGACTGAACAAGATTATAGCCATTATAGATCATTAACTATCTCCAATATAATTAATCCTTGATTAAGTATGAGGGTTAATTATTTCTCAATCATCACTTCAATTAAACAATTATAAAAACAATCACACTTACTGGTAAACAACGATCTTGCCATTTACGTGCAAATAAATTTAATTCAAGTGGTGGTAGGATCGGTTGTAGTTTTTCATCACTAATTGAACTATTCTTGTTAGATAAAATTAAACCAATGAAATGTTCTAATAGAAATGCACCAAACTGTAACCAAATTATACGCCAATTACTTAGAATTGTTATATTTATATTACTATCAGATAAAAATTTTGATGATGACGATGATAATGATAGTCCTGTCCCATTATCACCAAAGATTGTATGCGATAAACGTAGAAGATAATTCCAATTTAATGATGTCATTAATTCAGTTAAACTAACTCCAGATAGAATTAAATTTGTTGAAATAATTGAAGAAAGACAATATGGATGTGGTATTTGTTGAATAGATCCAGATTTTGATACAATAGTTGATTTTGTACAATAACCTACAACACGAAAGTATACATGAGAATTCACTGAAATTGATGATGATTAGATTTTATGTAAGAAAGCAATTATTAAACACTTTTTACTTGTGTTTAAATAATGCGCATTACTGTTTTTTTATAAATCCATTACAGAGGCTTAAAGATGTCTAGAACAGTCCCTTTATATTAATCTTGGCGGTTTGTAATTTATCAGTCATAATCAAATTAGAGAATGGTGTAAATGTACATTGATTCAAGTTTCAACAATACATCGCGATAAGATTATCAAGGTATATGCCAAAGAAGTAGTAATGTGATGTTTGCAGCAATCAGAAGAGGAAGGCCTGTCAGCAGAAGATTGAATTGAAGAGCACAAGAAGGGAAGGAAAGAGCAATTGTAATAACAACAGAATTGGAAGAATCATGAAGTGTTTAAAGGATAATGTATTTAGTGTATTAATTTCATATTTTACGAAGGCACTGTGTAATTTTTCATTAAACAATAAATTGGTTTTCTCCACTTGAGTTCTCGCTCACTAAAGAAGTAGTACTAGTGACAGTATAAAGATTAGAAATAAGGAATATGATTTGAGAAAAAGAAATGAATTAGAGAAATAAAAATCAGGATCCTAAGGAAGACAAAGAGTGGATGAATCTGCGCAATTGTGGTTAATTATTTGTGAATGTGATATTTTGAGGAAACGCTAACTTAGTTATGGCTAAAGACAAATCGAAATCACGTACAATATTGACAGGTGGACTGTTACATGAATTTACACACTAACCAATAGATGACAATCAAGACCTCACTGTTCACTGGTCTTCAAACTCCTTCTAACTCAGTAACCAGATCCACTGTACTCAATTCAGTCGTCACTCAATACCCATACAATTATGTGCTTGAAATGACATACCACACAACACACTAAATAAGGAATCATACTCTGAGTACAATCATGCCATTGTGGTGTGAGCTACCAATGAGAACAGACATAAGTAGTATAAAACAGGAGGTGGAATGCTTACGAGCAAGAGTGAAATAACGAGAAGAAGAAGAAGGAAACTAAAGAGTAATCAGATCAACAACAGGATTGGAGAGTGGTGGAGTATGTAAAGGACAACTCAAAGAAGGCGTCCAAATGAAATATTTAATGTACGATCTTCGTATTTTATGAAGACACTGTATAATTTTGCACATAACAATAACTTGGTTTACTGTACCTGAGTTTTCCTTTACAACACCATAAGTAGTAAATGGCGCAGCAAACAGTACATAGTCAATTAACAATAATTAAAGAGTAGTACAACGTGCAACAGCAGTTAGCCAGTCCACCAAAAACTTACAATAAGAGGAATATAGAAATGTAACAACACTGTTATGTGTTAATTATGCAATAAAGATATCAATGGTAATAATACCGCGGAAAATAGAGCCAAGAGTTTCAAACTTAGCAATTTTTGTTATGTTATAACAGTTATATCATCCAAAGTCTGCAACCAGTGATTGTATGGACCTCAACCAGGTAGTAAGCAACTGCCACAATGCCTTACTTGAATTGTCAGCGATTTCACTGATCGATGCCGCATTTTTGTTCGGCCTCCTCTACTTTTATATTAACTTAATGATATATAAACAAAAATTCTGTATTGTGATAGGTGCATAGACTCCGATAGACTTTCATTGTTAAAATTTATTTTAACTAAACAACTACAAGAAAGGCTATCTGTAGATACTATCATGTATTGTATTATAAAAAGCCCAAGATGTATACAGAAAACTTTAAACGGAAACATTGTAATTATTTGAATACTTTCCTTCTGGTTTTATCCTAGGAAGGAACGAAAGATGACTACATTAGAATTCATGTGTCCAGTTAATAAAACAAACATTTCATCAGCTTGTAAAGTAATTGACCAATATCAATGACTATTCAGTTATTTCTTAAATCTAAATCAATGAATAAATAAGCTAATTTTTATTAATCTTTATTTGTATACAATTACAAGTTCCTGTGACAAATGACAATGACCTTTAGTGTCTAATCAACCAATTAATCAATGTAGACTCATTGAGAAAACGTCAGCTGATTATCATTTCAAAAAAGTGAGAAACCATAACTTTTAGAAATAAAAATATTCCTGCTTCATTATATAAGATAATCGTTATTTGTTGAGATGGTTCAAAGATAATCCCTCAAAAAAGTTATGAGAAGACAGAGAAATATAGAGAAAACTGTTTAGCATATTAGGTGATTTTGGGGTTTTAGTGAGACACATGACAATTAGAGTACAACCGTGTACAGTGTGAAGCAGCTATTCACTGTAGACAATGAAAAATGATTGCGCTATATCGTGAACTGATTGAAGTTGGACATATATACCAATGAATTTCGGCTGCAGTCTAGAGGTCGAGCGTTCACGCGCGAAACCAAAGATCAAGAGTTCCGTCCGATAAGGAATTCTTCAATGTGTACTGCCGAATTCTCAAGGCAACTGATATTCCTAGATGGGTTCGAGCCCAGGCCACCCAGTTTCATAGTCTTAAACATCATCACTGAGCTGTCCGGGTAGCGAAAGCCCCCCTACCCCAATAGGACTGAGAAATTTACACTGACTGATCACCAAGCAGTTGATAATGTAAATTTTATATAATCTATTGTTGCTGACTGAATTTTATCACCCAAATCGCAATGTGCCAACCACTAATCTAAGTTACTTAACATTGCATGTACTATACTTTGATGTTGAATGGTTGAAGGCAATCGGAAGGAAACTTAACACCATGGAGTCTTGTCAGCTTACACTCGTCAGCAAAGTACATGTAGAACCATATTAAATAATTTAATTCAGAATAAATTATTGTTACACTTCATCTAAGAATGAATCCGTAAACAACACTATTTCATTTTTATTATTTTGTTTTTTGTCGTGTCATTTAGACACGAATCACACCGGCTAATGATGACGACCATCATCATCAGCAAGCATGTAACAAGCAACAACCAACTTACCAGGCATACTTAAACTCATACAACCACATTTGGATATTAGACCAACGCATATTGGTGATTCATGTGTACGTAATTGTTGTCGACTATTATTTAACAGGGTTTTCAACTTATCTTTATCGATAGATTGATGATTATGACATAATTTTTGAATAATTTCATCTATTGACAAATCTATACCCCATGGATGAATTAATGAAATGATAATTTGTAGAAATGTTGCCTGTGTAACATCCATTGTGAATATATCATCACGATAGAGTGATGATGATGAGGTTGGTGTTGTTTCTGTTGTTGTTATTGTTGAACTATTATAGTTAATCTGTAATTGTTTTTGAGAAAAATTAACAGAATGAAAACGATATAAGGTCAGTATTTAAGTACTTCACTAAAATATTGTACATCGAGGAAAATATATTGAATAATAAGTAATAATGGGCAAACAGTAAATCGGTGCAGTTCGATGTTTAATGGATTTTCCATTCAGTTATTAAGTGGTAAGTTCGAACCCCGCTCCATTAACTTAGGTATAGGTAATCTGAGTAGTAAGATTACTAGTACAATCTCGCACAAAATTTGTACCTGAGTTAGTGATAAATAATAAAATAGTAATGGTTGAAGCAATCAAGTTCCTACTAATGGATTGCAGATATCAACCTTTGTACTATATCTACGTCGATTTGGGTAACTAATCATCAGTAGTGCCGCTAGACCCATCTCACATACATACAGACGATATGGTCAGTAATAAGAAACCTACATTTGATCTATGGGTCACATTTAGGTCCCAGATTGTGAAAAACTAAGAGATTCAGATTCGAATCTAACATTTATCAAATAAAGTTGTCCTACATTGCAAGGACAATGTTACATTTTGTCACTGATCACGATGATACCCACTTATAAAAAATTGGATATTCTTCCAAGACGAGACTGTATCTAGAGAAACTAGACAAACCAGACGACTGAAACAACATTTCTATGATACTTCACACGATTGATGATGGAGAGGAGACAACAGATTAGGAAAAGCAGTACATTAAAGAAGGTAAGTTTGTAATGGAGCAACTCTATCTATGTAGTAATAAATATTGACCTTGGGACGTATAACAAAACAGACTAAAAGTGATGAAGGTATATTTTACAGGGTTGTATCACTCGATTACGGCCCAGTTGGCTCCAACAGTAGAACATTCATCAACGGACCTGTAGTTATTGGTTTCAATTCCTGTTGGGATTGTGCCGGTACTTGCTGCTACAAATTTCAATACTAAGATGAAATACATGTCCAGTGATCCCTAGTTTTCAATGATGTTCCACATGAGATCAGCATGTGATAAATATAACCTACAAATCAAACCAATCTCTACAAAACCCCTTCAAATCAGTAAAAAAGTACTTATTATATAGGCATCTATATGAAGACATTAGTTAGTTAGTTAGTTAATTAGTTTGGAGAAAATTTTATGCCTATGAACTGACGTCATAACGACAGAGTAACTGAAAATCAAGAGGCAACGATGATCGATAATTTCTTTCTGTTTTCCAAAACATAAACAGTGTCCCTATTCAACACTAAAGAAATGAGATTAAAACAGGGAATCCCTAAACTTCTACTCAGAAGCTAAGATTCGTAAAGTCAATCAACTGAAAACAAACTCGATAAATAACCGACCACATTGAAATTGAACGCCTATTTATATGTGAATTTCATGACCTATCTTTATACAACTACCAATTGGTGAGAGTTGTAACTTCCTTAGTCTATCCGATAAATACACAAGTCTAGATCATAGAACCTTTATTCAACAAATCTTTTGGTGGTTTTACAACCAAACTTGGCTAGTTGGTTACAAAAAGGCAGAGTGCTCACGAGGGAGCAGTACTAGGACGACGTAAAAATGCTGAAGCAGTTGAAAAAGTTGACTTCTGAAGACCTATACAGGTGTTTTAAATGATGACAATGGAGATGTGGCAGGTGTCAAGTCACAAATGTAAATAGAATTGGAGTACCTTAAATTTGGAAATTCACAGTTTTTATGACTTCTGTTTATATATTTCCTGAAAACATTACTGTTATATATATGGCTTAGATTCTTAATATACCACGTACAACGTGAGAACTCGAACGTACCAAGTCGCAAATGAGAAAACAGCAGACAAGGGAGAAGGAATGCTATTCCAAACAGTGTCAAATATGGTACAAAACTCTCAGGTATTTATAGTTTTTAGTAAAAGCTAAATCATCATTACAGTCATCCAATCCGCATGCAGGGGTTTTTAGCATTTGTCCAATAGGGAAGCTATATGTAGAGATTCTAGGATATTCTTCCAAAAGATGATTGGATGGAATATCCTCGGCTATTTCTGAGCTTCTTAGAGCTTTCTAGAGTTCACCTGTGGGCTGTTCTTACAACTACATAAACTGAGTTTATAGTAAAAACTGTTTAGGTAGCTAATAGAAAGATTTACTAAAAATCAGTCAAGAAGCATCTATAATGGTTCGTGTAAACCACTAAATGCAAACTCATTGATCTAAAGTTTAATCGCTCATTACGAAAAATGAAGGTGCTGGGTTCAAATCTCGATGGGGTCGTCGATGTGCATCACTTAAGAGTCCCCCATACTAATACGAAACAACTGTCCAGTGCTTCTTTGGTTCACTAAGGAAGGTGTCTATGACTTGAACTAAAAAATAAGTAAGTCAACTATTTCAACGATACAAATTATGCATAGGCCTAAATTTATTCATCATCATTATCATCATACCATTTCGTTAATATCCTTTGAAACTCCATAATTTTGTGATAAAATATCAACTGAAAGGAAAAACAAAACAGAAATATAAAAGAATAAAAGATTAAGGATGAAACAAACGATAGAAAGGAAAAAACGGACAAATATTTGGTGTTATTAGGTTTTCTGAGTTAGGTTATCTAAGCGAAAAGTACTAATTAACATTCGGGGACAACCATCAATACTTCCTACTTCGCGCTTGTATACATCAAGAAATCAGTGATGATGTTGTCCAAAGCAACAATATAAACTTAGTAAATTATGAAATCAACTATTTCAGACAACTAACTTGATAACACCAAAAGCATCCGCTCCAGATGAGCCGTAAAACTTTTTCATTATAGACAAACATAATTGGTTAACCTAAGAACAATTTTTTGCGGATAATCTGTTTTCTGTGAATACACAAAAATTGCTTGTTTGTTTGTTTTTCATTTTTCTATGAAGATAGATTACTAGAGCAAAAACATTTAGTCATGAATTATCAGGTGTTTGATTTTCTTTTAAGAGTCAGTAATTAAGGTTAACTAACATCTATATAGAAACATTAATGAATTAATTTGTTTGCCCTGCCACAAAAAAGCCGTGCGTGACTGGCCTCAAGCAGTTATCCCTTGGACTCTGCAGTCACGCTCCTAATTCGTTAAGACTAACATTAGTCCAACTTCCTTTTCAGGTCCCTCAAGAAATACCCTTCCACGGTGCGGGCAGTCGGGAAGTGATATTAGTCCTCATACCCATAACAGCACACGAAACCAAGTTGGTCACATTCAAATTTCAATTCAGATATGACTATAATATGAGTATGAAATAATATCACAATTCTCTAGTTCCCAGTTTATATTCAGTAGTCAAAATAACTTGACATCGAGTACAGTTAGCTATGATTTAGATCGATGATTGAAGGTGAAGAGTTCAATTTTGTGTCAGTAGGTGTTAGTCAACACGTTGTAGTTTGTAATAAAATAGGTTAGAATATTCAGAGGGGGAATCTGTTCCTCCAAGACTGTGGATGGTCTTTGTTGATGAATACTGATTAGTATGAAATTTAGAGCTCTATGATGATTGCCTTCAACTATCTAGTACATTTATGTACAAAGAGAAGTATTTATGTTGTAAATTTATTTTTGCATTTAGAATCAGTATGAAAGTCGGTGAAACAGTACAAAAAAAGCACTCCTTAGCTAATTATCATCCCTGGTAAGCTCTATAAAATTCTAATGAGATCCTCTCGCTTACGATATTTGTCAATTTGATCAGAATGATAAACAATTTCTTACTGAATCTAACATCTATTCAAATAATTCCCGAAAATCTAAGGTCATTTATAGTCATATTGTAAAAAACTACAAACTTGAAGTAAAGTTTACAAATCAAGGAGTCAGAGGAACATGGAAACAGGAAATGTTAATAAATTTTTTGTACAGTTATCATTCAATGGACCCCAGCAATAATAATAAAACTGGACTCATAGGAAGCATTTCTTGTGAATAGTTACATAAATATGAGCAGCTAGGGGTGTGCATGTACTCAGAAGAAAACTATTACACCACTTGTCAGATAAACTGCGCATATACGCAATCAAAAATTATAGATCCCTTGAACAAAAATGCATTAAATTCTAAATCAGTTTATTCAATGATAATTTTGGTTTACTTATTTATTTAATATATCACCCTCGAAACACATATTTATGACTTTCTTCATCATTCAGACATTTGAACGAATTTTAAATGCGAAACAACTTTCATCCTGTTAGATAGTTGTTACCCAATTAACACCACCTCATTGGCCACAATATTTCTAATCTTAGCCATTAGTTATTTGTTCGTTCAGACAAACGTATAAAAGCACATTTGTCTAAAAAAAACTGTTTAGTGATAAATTTAATAAAAGTACCTTCGCGGTGCAATTGGTTAGCTCTCTAAATGCCCTGCTATGCCATCCTTTTGAAATACTCTGATACAACCACGTGTTTATACCCAGTGCCAGAGGAGTCTACTTATTTCTTTTATGTTGTGAGGGTGGTTTTACGAACTTGAAAGAACGAGAAGTGTACATCCGAAGCTTAAGTCCGGTTAAAGAATATGGCGAGTCAACAGCCATGGGAATTGAAAAATAGTGATTCCAAACCAATGGTGTAAAGGAGCCCCAAGATTTCTAGTGAATAAATGCCATACAAATATATTTTGGTCATCGAATACCATGGGGCTACATCTCCTGACGTCGCTGCATTGCTTTGTAGATTAGATCTTCAGGTTAAATCTTCTGAAAGTGGTCTCCTAAGAAAACCGTCCATTTTGGTTTGAGTAATCGGGGTGTATTTCAACTGACTAATACAACTTTTACAATGCTCATGTGGTAATCAACTTAAATGGAGCAGTTTAAATACTCAACTTTCACATAATGAGTCACAGATTCAAGCCACATTACTTATTCCGGTCCAAGCAAACTGTGTTCAGTACACAAATCCATACCTAGTCGGTGCATTTGTACATTTAAGCTTCTCTAACTGAAAAATCTCTAAAGAACAAATTACAGCACAATAGAGGCTAACAATGTAAAACATTCAGTTATCTCAAGAAATAAATGTAGTGTTTCTTAATTTGTGATAATTTGTCATAAGAATGTTAAAACTGACACCCCGAGTAACGCATTGACTCCATTATGAATGACAATGAATGAATCACAAAATATAAATTCTCAGTTTTATTCTACACAATATACTTAGACTAACCCCGTTTGGAGAACAATGGTACTAAAAACCAAACACGAAGTGAATTGAATTTTCTTCAGACTTTCATTTACTCAGGTAGACGGTAAGAAGCGCTGAATAGAGAAATGAATCTCAGCTTATTCAATCATATCAAGCGTTTGACTCAATATTCATGGTAACACAGAAAAAGGTAATTGTACGTATAGGGTTGTAGAGATTGAGTTTCATCGAAATCATAAACCGATCAATAGTATACCACCACCGAAAATCTGAGAGCACTGGACGGCCGTTTCGTCCTAGTATACTGGCGCATTAGTCTAGAGATTAAGTATTCGCGCGCAATAACGAAAACCCCGGGTTTGATTCCCGTGTACGTGTTCGTGGATGTCCACCATTGAGGAGTCCCACATTAGGACGAAACGGCTATCCAATGCTTCCACCTTTTTAATAGTGGTCTAACACTGATCGGTTCATGATTTCAAAGAAAAAGCCAAACTGTAATGAATAAAGTGATAAACAAACACATACACTCATTATCAGAAGGGGGTTTTGTGGAGATTTTAGTAATCTTATATAGTTGAGATCATGAGTCAATTAAAGCTAGACCACCATAAAAAACCTGGAAGCACTAGATGGCCGTTTCCTCCTATTGTGGGACTCCTAAGCAGTGCGCATCCACGATCCACGATACAAGTGAATCAACTGACAAGATCAAAGATGTATATAAACATAATGACTTGAAAAATAAAGGATTAAATTAATTTATTTGTTGAAAATCTGGAATCATTGATGTAAACATGATGATATTGTACAAAATACTAAAACACCAACAAAAAAACTGATCATTCTCATTATTCAGTCAGTCAGTCAGCTACAACGTAGGACCAGGCACATATTTGCATCGGTCCAAGTTGCCATACCTCGTTAGCACAACAAGATGAACACAGAATCCATAGAAGTAGTTAATTTAGTGGTGGTGGTAGTATATAAATTATAGGTTGTATATAAGGATATAGTATAGGAAGGAAGAAAGTTATGAAGCAGTTTTAATCTCAAGGTTTAAGGGAAGATAAAGAGTGTATACACCTACGCCATTGTGATCGATTCTGAGCCATGTCACCCACAGTCGCCAACCATTGGTTACGATAGTCACGCGAACCCCAACCAGGTAGTCTGCATCTACCAACATGGCTAAGGCTAGAAGTTAGTGACTTCAAACACTGATACCACGTTTTGGTTTGGCCGCCCTTAACTCTTCCAACCATCCCCAATACTAGTCATCATAGAGCGTCGTGGTAATCGGTGTTCAGGCATACGTAACACGTGGCCCAACGATCTCAGTCGATGAAGATTCATGACCTCATCAACTGATTTACCATCGTTCCCTAATACCCTGTGTCTAACCTCACTATAACTCATTATTAATTATTAAACAATTACATACTACTATTTACCAATAAGTGATTCAATATCCCAATGAAAAACAAATGCAGCTGGACCAGAATTCCATTTCAATTGATTTTCATCATTTATATCAACTTTATCTTGACTATTTGTTACTGTTCTCGATCCAATTAAATGTAATTGTACAGGTGGTAAATTATTTGTACATAATTTTTGTAAATCATCAATTGTTGAATACTTTAATCGACTAGGTGCAGTAAGATGAATTGTACCAGAGGAAGATGTTGAATTGACACCACCACAAAATGGTGTAGCTAATGATGTATAAACTGAATATTGATTTGGTACACCAGCTAATGATCTAGACTTATATGATGACATTGTTATTGATGGTAAAGTGGAAAATGTAAAATTTAAAAATGTTGATGGATGATAAACTTCAGTAATGAATTGAGCTTGTTCAAAAAGATCTCTAGCTGATTGTTCTGTTTCAATACTAAATAAAGAGAAAAATGTATTTTTTTTTAAGGTGACAATTGAGAAAGATGGAACTCTGAGTATATCTATAATGGGGTCAAGCCTTCTGAAAAACACATACCTCTCGATTCTATAGCCTACCTTAGTTTCATAAACCATAGGTTCCTTTACGTCCAATTGTAGACATGTCAAACTCACCATAACATTCAATAGGAAAATGGTTGGTGAAATTATTAGAACCATTACACCAAGACTTGGTTAAGTAGAGTTAAAAACGTATTTGAATTTGTGGATAATACAAAAAGTGTGAATATAAAAGGCAAAGACGCGTTATCACTAGACATAACATTTTAGTTCACCAACATCCCACTGACAGACAGCATGGATTACACATGTGAACAACTGCTAGAAAAGAAAATAGAGATACCGATCCCAATAAATAGAATCAAAGAGCTTCTGTTGAAATATACAATGTTTAACGATGAATTTTATAGACAAGTAGATGTAGTAGCAACGGGATCATCCCTACGACTGATCCTCGATATTTTTTCCTAGACAAACTAAAAAAAAAAAAACTGAACTCGACCGTTGCTGCTACCTTGACGTGGTGGTCGGGCTTGCCTATCGTGATGAAGCAATCGAGCTATCGTTCCTCAAGGTCCTACCATGCCAGACAGGTCGGTTGAAGAGCGGTGAGACTAAAAGCAGCAAACCCAAGGTCCGAAGGCGAAGTCGTACTGCTGACTGTACAGAGGTGTGAAAGAAGTAAGGTGTTTCCTTCAGACAACCAGCATGACAGCGATGCTGCCTTCCCACAAGGAGGGGTGGGGTTAGAAAAGGTCGACCCTAAAAATGCACACCTCGCCTTATCCCACGGATATCCGTCTCCGGCGGTAAGGTTTTTTTGAAGAACGGAGCTAACACAAAAACTACCCACAAAAAGGTCGTGTGTGACCGACCTCAAGCAGTTGTCCCTTGGGCACTGCGGTCACGCTCTCAGGTCATTAAGACCACTTCTAACCCAATTTCCTTTTCAGGTACCCCCAGGAGAACCCTTCCACGGTGTGGGCAACCGGGAAGTGATAACTGCCCTCATACCTCTAACAGCACTCAAGACCACCGTATTCATAATCAATCTCCTTCAATTCCTACTATTCCTTCTACCTTGACTTTCAACACTAAACTTCCTGTTCCGGTTTCCTCCTCAAGTGTCACCATGGCCAACGATTCTAGTGCGCGAAACGCTGTCCCAGGTCTACTTAAACCTCGCTCCAAACTACACATTGGAGCCTTCAACGTACGTACCCTACGCCAAATCGGTCAACAGGCCTCCTTAGCTAAAACCCTAGAATCTCGTACCATTGATGTATGCTGTGTCTCCGAAACACGCATACAGGATCCCAGTGTGGTCATTCACTTGACCTCACCTCGCCAAAATGGACAGCCGACGAAATACACCCTCCGTGTATCTGGCGACCCGTTGGCTAGTTCTCGCGGACTTGCAGGTGTAGGCATAGCACTAAGTACAAGGGCAGAACAGGCGCTACTAGAATGGATCCCCGTTAACAGTCGCCTGTGTGCTGTCCGGCTAAATGGCTCCATAAGAACTCGGAAGGATAGGGACACACGTCGTTGCCTTTTCGTCGTTTCTGCCTACGCTCCCATATTGTCATCAGTCATCGTTGGAGAGGCTCAATAGAAGATTGTCGCTCGTATTGGAATACTTGTTTAGACTCTGATCACGCTTTAATACGAGCGCGCATTTGTCTGCGCCTCAATGGACGCAGGAAAAGTACACTAAGAAGACCCATTAGGATTGAACTGGAGGACGAGAAAGCCAAATGCGAATTCCAGAAACAACTGAGTTCACATCTAGGCAGTTCTGTAAACGAGACTGACCCAGATGCTGCTTGGAAAGGCATACGAACAGCTGTGGAAACAGCAGTTACATCTATTAGTCATTTAAACCATAGGGCTCCAAAAAACCAATGGATTTCTTCTAAGTCTATTTCACTGATGGATTCGCGTAAACTCATCCCATCAGGCTCTGAACATGACGAAGAGCGTAAACAAATTAGATCTAGGTTAACTAAAAGTCTAAGGAACGATCGTGAGCAGTGGTGGGCAACGAAAGCAAAAGAGATGGAAAAGGCAGCGGCTGTAGGGAACACCAGGCAACTATTCAGACTAATAAAAGAAACCGGAATTAAGAAGTCAAGTGTAAGTGAGACAATCTCCGAAAAAGACGGAACCCTTATCTGCTCTCAACCCAAACGTTTAGAACGATGGGCGGAACACTTTAAGGAGCAGTTTAGCTGGCCTTCAGCTACTGCACAACTACCCATTATCCCTAGAAAACCTGAATGGAACATTGAAGTAGGCCCCCCGACCCTACTTGAAGTTCAAAAGGCTATAGGTAATCTGAAACGAGGAAGAGCAGCTGGTCCAGATAGATTGGCTCCAGAGGTCTTTAAATATGGTGGTCCGATTTTAGCGATTAGGCTGACTAATATTCTGGCTAAAATCTGAGAGACGGATGTAATCCCATCCGACTGGTCACAATCACTGATTGTCCCAATATATAAAAAGGGGTCAAAATCATCCTGCGATAACCATAGAGGGATTAGTCTGACTAACATAGCATCTAAAATACTAGCCTCAATAATTATCGGGCGCCTAACTAAGACTCGTGAACTGCAAACACGAGAAAATCAGGCTGGCTTCAGACCTGGTCGTGGCTGTATCGACCACATATTCACCATTCGTCAAGTCTTAGAGCACAGACACGCTTATCGGCATCCGACAATGATAGTTTTTCTTGACTTGAAAGCAGCATTTGACTCTGTAGACCGAGAGGTTCTGTGGCAGTGTCTGTCATTGAAAGGTGTACCTGAGAAGTACATAAACCTTGTGAAGGCTCTTTACTCGAACACTACCAGTCGAGTGAGAGCTTATGGCGAACTGTCATATGATTTTACAACCTCAAGTGGTGTCCGTCAAGGCTGTCCACTATCCCCCTTTTTGTTTAACTTCATTATAGACCTGTTGCTGGAAATAACACTCTCTTCGACTGAATTTACAGGAATTGATCTCCTACCAGGGGGACCACTAAGCGACTTAGAATACGCAGATGACATAGTCCTGTTTGGTGAAGACGCTGGCAAAATGCAGAGTCTTCTGTTGGAACTGAGTAATAATGCCAGGATGTTTAGGATGCGTTTCTCCCCATCCAAATATAAATTGTTACTCCAGGACTGGCCTGCATCAACACCTGAACTAAGGATAGGGAGTGAAGTAGTCGAACGCGTTGACAACTTCACTTATCTTGGAAGTCTGATCAGCCCTAATGGGTTGGTGTCTGACGAAATCTCAGCACGGATTCGAAAAGCTTGTTTTGCTTTTGCCAACTTACGTCACCTATGGCGAAGACGAGATATCCGTCTATCAATTAAAGGACGAGTATACTGCGCATCAGTTCGCTCTGTTCTACTTTACGGCTGCGAAACATGGCCATTAAGATTAGAAGATACTCGTAAGTTACTAGTCTTCGGTCACAGATGTCTTAGAAATATTGCTCGCATCTGCTGGGATCACCGAGTAAGTAATAGTGAGGTTCGATGCAGGGTATTAGGAAATGATGGTAAATCAGTTGATGAGGTCATGAATCTTCATCGACTGAGATCGTTGGGCCACGTGTTACGTATGCCTGAACACCGATTACCACGACGCGCTATGCTGACTAGTGTAGGGGATGGTTGGAAGAAAGTTAGGGGCGGCCAAACCAAAACGTGACATCAGTGCTTGAAGTCACTAACTTCTAGTCTGAGCCATGTTGGTAGATGCAGACTATCCGGTTGGGGTCCGCGTGACTATCGCAATAAATGGTTGGAGACTCTGTGTGACATGGCTCAGAATTGATCACAATGGCGTAGGTGTATACACTCCTTATCTTCCCTTAAACCTTAAGATTAAAATTGCTTCATAACTTTTTCCTTCCTATACTATATCCTTATATACAAGCTTTCTTTATATACTACTACCACTAAATTAATTACTTCTATGAACCCGGTGTTCATCTTGTTGTGCTAACGAGGTATGGCAACTTGGACCGATGCATAAACGTGCCTGGTCCTACGTTGTAGCTGACTGACTGACTGAGACAAACTGAAAAATGGATGGCTGGAAGACATCCTAAAGGGAATAGATTATTATTGTTGATACATAGATGAGAAACGACAATTGTTGAACAGTTTCAATAACGTTCACCCAGCTATTAAATTCAACAGCGAAAAGGAGAACGATTATAGTATATCTGTCATCGACGTCCCATTTTCTAGAAGGATAGACAGTTCCACAAAAAGAAATGTATTTAGAAACAATACGTAGACAGGTCTGTATACCCATTTCCATAGCTTAGCACCTCTTTAACACAAAATAAATTTGGTTAAATGTCTCAGTCACAGAACCAAACTATTATGTTCGGAGGATAGTGTAGATAGCGAAACAGATAATCTAAAGAACACGTCAACTCAAAAGATCTGTTGAAAGGACGTTTCACGTCTCCGAGTTACATGTAGTTTTCTCAACCAAACCAGTACTTACACAACAAATCAAGCATAGGTTACCGATAATGGGCACCTCTATGTGTGTACATCAATTCAACAGCTCCTGTACAGCTGGTTACATAGACCGTCCTCAGAATGCTTTATCCTTGTATGCTTGTGAACACGTACCAGCATGGTTGGCAAAAGGAGTCACTAAATCTATTGATAGCTCCATTCTTTCTCACTTGGTCGGTAGTGAACATCATATTAAAATAAATGAAACCTCTGTTTCATTTCAAGTTCAAAATAACCCACATAAATGAGCTACATTACATTTCTTCTACATCTGAATCAACTCCAGATAACTTAAATTATTTATCCAGAAGAGGTATATACAGTCTCTACGTTTACCTTGGTCCACGATGGGATCACCAGATACCTGAACTAGATATTATAAACATTTAATCCCCCCTCCTAATTCCTTTTGTATCCATATCTTTATTAATCCACACATTTATCTTCCCCAATACATATTATCTCTTTTTTATCGTAATCACCTTGATAAAGCCTATCTTTATACATATTATATTCACATGACATTATTATTATTATTACTATAACTACTATTACCTCTATTACCAAGACGAAATTCTTCTACTATGCATTTTATTCACATGATTTATTATATGTCTATTATATTGATTATAGCTTGACACTTTACTAAGAAACACTCTGAGTTTCACTAAATGACTTTTCCAATTTACAAATAACACAATTTTGAAGTATATATGTCATAACCAAAAGCAAACGTTCAACATTTTTAACATATAACACTAAGTTTTCTACGTTTCTAAATTTCCCATAAATCTTTTTGTATTCCACTTGTTTATAATTTTAAGGATCGTATATTCGACCACTAATATCTTTACTCCCTCTACTTTCCTGACATTCATACAGACAATTTTCTCTCACTGTTCTGATAAAGTATGGCAACTTCAACTGATGTACATATATGACAGGTCTTACTTTATGTTTGATAGACTGATACGTTTTAACTAGGTAATTATTATACACTTGAGAACTATGGTATTCTCCTGTACAACTCTCATTGTTAACTTTCATTTCAATGTTCGAGAATTCAACAATATCACTCGGAAAAGTCTCTACAAGGTCAGAAAACATCACCAAATGTTTAATTCAATCAGTTTTTAATTCAAACTTATTAAAAATACAGAAAAATCAAGAACCCCATGCCAAATTTCGATTCAATGGTTAACTATACTGTTACTGTGTTCAGCGTCTGCAGAAACTTCTATAACATCAAAGTCATGTGAAACATAAGAAATATACTCGATTTTTATACACAATCTAACCTAACCTTAAACTAAAGCGCTTACTTACATTTCGTACCTTTTCCCTACTGTTCGAACTGAAGTGCAGAAGTAGTCAATGATCATAGGAAACATTTACGAAGCCACTACGCCCATATGATTTTGAGATAGTGGAGATTTGTAGTTCAGGTGGATGATTTTGATGGAACTTTGTTTTCTGAGCTGGATGGTTTGGTCGTAGAGCTTTCATCGTCCTTCTGAACGACATCATCAGCAAAAACTTCGGATTTGTGCTCCACGACCAAACCATCCAACTCAGAGAACAAAACTCCATCAAAATCTACGAAGCCAGCAATAAGCGTTCAAATCGTAAACTTATCACTAGTTAACTGATGTTATTTGTTTCAACGTTTCTCAATTATTGTTAATTATTTACCCATTATTTAGTTTTGTATCAGTTATGTACAAACCGTTATTTCTTATTTATAATGTATTGTGGTTATATAATTGATACATGTAATCCAGTGAGTTTTTCATGAAGAAGGACAATACAATTATAGAAATTAAATCTGCTATCTAACTTTAAAGTTCTGATGGGTCACTGAAAGTAGAATAAACTGTATGAACCACCCATCAATAGGTCTTAGAATTTCGGGTAATTGTTGACGATTATTTATGTTAATGGTTAGAGTGAAAGTCATTAATTTGACAGGTATAAGTGAAATTATCATTAGTTAAATTTATCATCTAAAATGTTTCGATTCAGCGGACATACAAGAATCTACAATCTCAAAAGAAAAGAATCTTCACATGAATTAGTCACTTAATAGTGACAAACGTTATGATGATGATGTCTCGTCATGAGTACTAATTAACATTCTATAGATCAGTTTAAAATCTGATCAGTAGTGTGCATGACCCATGACCTCGAGCTGGGGTAAGAGACCTATGAAAATCAGGTCTCCATTGAAGTCACTCACAGAGTAAACTAACCTCAGCAGATGCACTTTATCAATGGCATAATCATGTTCTCATTATTGGCCGAAGTTTTAGTGAGATTGTGTTTCTCGTATAGTTTATACATATCGGAAGTGAAACAAGCATTATTAAAAGTATTGCACGAGCGTCTCTGCATATGACGAATAAACTGAAGTTGGAAATGCGTATACCATTTGATCCTAACGTAGCGAACGCTATGAGACCTTCAGGTCTTAAGTTCAATCCTTAGTGGGCTTACAGACACTCAGTGCTGAGGGGTTACAAACCAAAACAAAAAAAGTTATCCAGCGTTCCTTGCATTTCAATGGTACTCCAACTGAGATCAATTTAACAAATACAATAGACCAAATTGTTGTTAGTTATCTTGAAAATTGCTACATCAGAACACTATATATATATATATAACCAATAATACAACTTTTATAGAATGCGAAATAAAACTTTTGTCTAACACTTACCGTTCTAAACAACCCATGTTTATATCCCATACTGTTACTGTACCATCTAAATAATTAATAAATAAAAGATCTTCAGCTAGTCTCCAACCAATAGCTACAACTGGACATGAAGATAAATTACTTGTATTACGTGCGTAAAGGAAGGGACGTTTTTCTTTTAAATTAATTAACCAGACTGAACCATCTGCACCAAATGAACAAATAGTTGTCTGGATATAAAAATAAATTTTTTGATTAAAAAAAATAATAACCGATGACTATATACATTTACCGGTAGAAATGAAATAAATGAATTATTAATGGATGTTATTCAATTTATATATACTGAGATTTTTATTTATAATTAGAGAGGTAGATATAACAGTAAAATTCTACTATATACTTCCAAATAGATACATCTCTAATCAATATACAACGTTGTCTCAGTTGAATATTTTCTCAGTAAAGCAAAAAAGAGTTGAAGATATTCGATTTGAAACGTTCCAAAATGTTATATAAGAATGAAGACTGAAGGAATGGTAACTTCCAGGAGTAATTTATAGACTATCATTATATGTATTTTTGTCTAATGATTATTAAGTAACTAGATTATATACATCTATACTTCTTTTATCGTATAACTTCGATTGACCCACTAACTACTGTTATACGATTTACGATTCTTAATCTATTCAAAGTTTATTATTCATAGTCTCTCCTATTCACAAACACTTTTGGCTTGATCCTGTATAATTGCTATTTTCTATTTTATGGTGTCATGAGATCTAATCTTGTTGGGTATGTTGGCTCCCCAGAAATCACTTAGTAAAAATCTTATTTTTGCGATCTTATTTTGGAAATTTGAATTTCTCGTATCCGCTCTAAAAACGACCCTTTTTAGCTTCAAATTGTATTTTGCACTTGGAAGAACCATAAATATCATTCTTTCGTTGCCTCCTTTAACATGCTATTTTGTGGCGTTTCCCAAGGACCTTTTTATACTGCATATATACGCTTGAGTGGTGTTCTTGATTGTTCGTGCTTCTGTCTCCTCGTGAAATATGCATTTTACTAAGTCGAACCTGATTTTTTCCCTCTAGATAGCGGGGCTGGGACTCATCTAAACAGTTTAGTTTGCCTTTTCGTTGTGTCGCTGATCCTTCGTTCCGTTCGCCGATTTTAGGTGATCTTGTAATCTATTCAAACATAGCAGGTTTGTTTGTATATAAACTACGTCCGCCGGAAATATAATATTCGTATACTGGAGGTTGACTGCTGTGTTCTGTGGAATGAAGGTATAGGTGGGAAGAGAACTACAGAACAGTAGACTAATAAGGACTCATGGTTACTAGTGCTGGTTGGATGCGTAATTGGTCAACTCAGGGACACTAAGTTATAGAAATCGGGTTCTGACCGGTGGCTTTGTAACATGATATTAGACAGAGGCAAAAACACTACAAAATAGATTCTACATTAAACATTAGTATAGTGATTTGTGTAGATCTCATTATTTCTAAATTTAAATTTACATTGTTATTCATCTATTAAGACTAGGATTATTTATTCAGCTTTAAATAAAACGCTTTTTGCGATAATTAATGGTGCTAATCAACAGACTAAACTGGAAGAGGATTTGGATCTACAACTCGGTGGTTAAGACTATATCTTGACGATCAAGTGGTTAGTTATCGATGCGATCTGATTTGCTTGCAAAGAAACTGCGTACACATGATTCGTACAATGGAGGATGAAATTGATTTCTGGACCCAACGGGTAGGACTAGGCAAGGACAAATAAGGATTCAGAATTGGAACAGAGCTGCTAGTGCTATTTTGACGTGTTATTGGTTTAGCACAAGAACAGGGTCGTATGAGACTGTGTTTTAATTGGCGACTTAGTCACGTGATAATTAACAGGGAAAAAGTCATTAAAAAAACCTCATCCATGAGTCCACGCGTTTGAATCCTACTTTATCTACTTCAGCCTGCACAGTCTAGTTATATCACCAGAGGTCACATGAAAGTGGTTGCGGTCCAAGATTGAGTATGAACATCTTAGTTTCAAGCCATGCTCTGACCGTGAGGGCAAATGACACTAAACGATTCTCAAAACTGAAGTATATATCTTAGTTATTGGAAGCTGAACGCCTTAATGTTATGTAGTAGCGAAGACATAAGTATGGGTAACTTGCAGGACCTACTATTGGACTATCATTTTTATTGTATAACTATTCGGTAACTGGATTATCTATATCTATATTCATCTTATTGTAAGCTTCATTTTGACCTATTGATTATTACTATATGATTTACTGTCCCTATGTTATACTCAGTTTTATTGATTATTGTCTCCCACGCTTACAGCCTCATTTGGCCTGGTTTTGTACAAATATTATTTTCTATTTTATGGTATTATGTGGCCTGTCTGTCTGATACGTAAACAAAGTATGCTTGAAGTAAAGAATTCGTATTTCCGAGGCTGCTATTGGTGTTTTGGACTCAAGTGAACGGGTTAGGCGGATAAGGGCCAATAAGGACGCTAGATTACTCATACTAAATCGAATGTCATTGTCACAGTGTGAAGGTCGTAGAAGTCGTATTCTATTGGTGGACAATTTACGCGAATTACGTCCTTGTTAAATTCGTAAGGTCATAACGAATCAGCGACGACCTTGATCAAGTCATAACAATTGGCTACCGCCTAGGTGAAAAACATAACACTTAACCACCTGAGCAATCCCTCTGTACACATAAATCTGTGCTTGGTGAATAAGTTAAATTATCGATAACCTATGAATGAAACATAATAGTAATAGGCAAATAATAATGAAGATTAGATATTGAACATTTGATGAAAACGACTAACCGAAAGTCTCGGATTCCCAGCAACCATATTGATTACAGAAGAAATAGGAGGACCAATTGTTAGGCCAATACAAGGTGATGCATGACATCGATATACAGCTAGACATAATGATTTACTACAATTATTGCCAACATATTTTCTACTACTACTACTACTAATATTGTTGCCAGTAGATTCATACCATGAATTTAAATCCCATAAACGAACAGTGAAATCCATTCCACCAGACAATAGAAAATCTGGATTGAATTGATAATCTGTAATTGTGCTACTGATATTATTATTAGTAGTACTCATACTATCTCCATTGTTATTGTAATTTACTGAATTGGAATCATTTGATGAATATGATTGTCTTTCACAACTAGCTGGATGTAATAAACTTGTCACAGGACCAATATGACCATTTAAACAAAACTTGGACAACTGATTATGATGTTGCATTGAAAATTGATCATCTTGGCTGTTATCAGGATGATCATGGTGCCAATAAATTGTTTTTAAAAAATCAACCATACGAACAATTATAATACGTCCATTAGATAAACCAAAAGCTAAACGATATGGATGAATTGTAGGGGGTGAACCCTGGACACGTTGATATGTGGTCATTTGATTAAGTTGTATACAAACAGTTACACTTAGATTATTGTTACCGTTATTATTATCATTATTATCATTACACAATATTTGATTGGTTATCGGGGAAGCCGTCAACGAATCACCTAATAAGGAATGATTGGGGCTAATTATATTTGAATATTTCGAGTTTGTAATAGAGCTCTATCAAAATGTAAAGAGAAAATACACCAGAATAAACATAAATGTCATCAAATTGAAGAAATATTTACAAAAAGTATTTGTCAAGTATGTGTACAATTAATTTATCACTGAATAGTCTACAATATCATATTTATCCAGTCTTTCAAATCATTATCGGATTCTACGGATCAAACCAAAATATGGCCATTTGTTTTAATAACTCTACATCACATACACTATGTTGAAAAGTTAGATGGTGAGATGTGTTTGACAGGAAACCTTACACCTAGTTTTTGAGTTGGTTGACACTTGTCAGCAAGGCGTGACTGAGAGTTAGAACGTTTCAAACTATGAAGCTCTGTGATATCGGTTCGAATTCCACAGAGAGCTTCAATCTTCTCAAGATTACTGGCACACATTGCTGACAAATATGAAACATAGGTCCTACAGAATCTTCTGCCGACTACCTCTTACCAAGTATATGAGTCTGCGTTCATATTCGGTTATCAGAAGTCTTTATCCTATGTCCGTAACTAAAATGCTTACCCACACTCAAGGATAATATAAATTGACATTACTGAAACAAATCATGTTTTTCTTTAGATTTTTTAACACAATGATATATTTATATGTAAATCAATTCGTAATCAAATCATTTTGACTGGGACGAATGGTTTAGTTTCGAATCCCCGAATGTCCTGACATGGCCGAGGGTGACGAAAGTCTTCTCCCACAATATTGCACTACTGCCCTGTGGATTGGACCCCTAGGTTAAAGGCCCGGAGAGGGGCTCCCCTAAGAAAACCACCTGATCCAGTTTGAGCAGTATCACAGCTCACACAGACCTAATGATTTGTGTGGTACATATGTATTTTGGTGCCCATTTGTACCTATGTATGTGTTATCAAATAAATAATAAAACTAATGTAGTGTTTATGTTGAAATCAGACTTCAAGTAATAGTTGGTCGTCAATCAGTCAATCATAATCAATGAAGAGCCTTGCACAGATGAACATCAATCCAAGTTGACATACCACATCAGCACAACGAAATGAAATTAGTAAGATGAATAAAAAATTGCAATAATTGTAATAGCAATAGTAGTGAGAAAGATTACGTATTGAGAATATGGTATGGGCTGAAGAAATGAAAAAGTGTGGATGGAAGAAATCAAGATTTTAGTAGACGATAAAGAGTTAATTCGTCAGTACCACTATAACCGATTCTTTGTCATATCATTCGACATCTCTAACAACTGATTGCGATTATTAAGCGAATCTAGGTAGTCTGCATCTGCCAACATGACATAATAGTCAACGACTCGATGGACTAATCCCACGTTCCAAGACAGAAAAGAATGAAGTGTGAGACAAACTTACGAATCAGTGATCAGATGTTAACTACTCTAACAATGAATACATTTTCCCTTCGTTAACTGAGAAATAACTGGGATAATATTCTGATAACCAATAAATACCATAGCAGAAATATACCTATAGATGTTAAGTATCATCGAACTCCATTTAACTCAATAGATCTATACAAATGATGGAATTAATTATTAACATAAGATCAGGTATCAATTAATGTTTCTTACTTTGTAAAACTAGTTAGAACATTGATTAGCTAAAGCTTATCGATTTCAAAAGAGACTTTTGAAACAATGCCTCATCAATTAGTCACTAAAGCATAGATTTCATCACAAGTCGATATCTGATAGGCTGGGTTAGTGTGTATAGATATATCACACTATCCACATATCATCGTAAGTTTAAATGGCAAATGCAAAATTACAAACGAGACATGCTGTTGAAAGAAATCGATTAAGTACCCAGTTAAGATCTAAGTCTACATGTCCATATATATATATATATATATATATATATATATATATATATGCTTTTAGTCTTCTCATCTAGAAAGTGTGTTTGGTATATCGTAGGAAGTGAATGCGGTAACTGAGTCGGATATAAGAACACAACACTCCTGGAAAACATTGAGCATAAAGAGGAGCTGTTTGGTCCTATCCTAAAATTCCTCAGCGCTAACTAACTTTACACAACACCACAAGTAGAATCAAGTCCTAGAATTTTTAGGACTTATTGTGGCAAGAGTAGTAGATAGTCAACTCATGAAATCTGAATCCATTGACTTAATGTTTCACATTAGAGTGACAATTTGAAAAAGATGTATTTTTCAGACCTTTTAGTGGAATATCATGATTAATGAAATCAAGCAACTTGACGATAACTCAATAGTTCAACTTCGATGACAAACCGTAAAATGATGAGGATGATATTTGCCTTATATAATCACAAATTAACTCTCTGAGATGCTTCATACTTTCCAATGAATTCGTTAGCTGATATTAGTTCTTAATGAGAATGATCTCTAAAAATATATATGTTATATCCCCTGGTGAATTATGAATCGTAAATCTGAGGTCTATTATCGACCAATGTATTATGCCTATTTCTTATTGTACAGTTGTTACGTAACTAAATTATTCATATTCGTTTTCTCTTATCATGAGCTTTATTTTGATCTTTGATTTATGATCATACGATTCTTGAGTTATAATCAGTTTATTGATTACTTTGGTTTGTATAAAAACCCAGTATGTTTGTAAATAATGATTCATATTGCTGAGGCTGTTATTTGTGTTCTGGACTTAACGGGCTGGGCTAGGCAGATAGGAAGGACCGAATAGCACCCAAGACTGCTCGTACGTATTTCAAGTATCATTTGCATCCGATCAGTAAAATCCACTCCTCTTTAATTGCACGTTCATATATATTACGGGCGCATACGTTATAACAATATACATATACATATGTTCCAGAAATCACTTCAATTAAGAAAAAAAAATTTCAATGATCTCCAAACAAAAGTATCAAGTACAGAAAATAATTGAGAAGTAAAACAAATAAAAACCACTCACTGTCAAAAACATAGCTATATTAGGCAATGCATGTTTTTTCCATACAGTATGTAGATCACTACACATAATTGGAGGCGTAATAGGCACACCTAAATTATAGAAAAAAGTATATATATAAATATAGATAAAAAGAATGAGTGACTAATGTCAACATTATCAGCTTCATACAATCCATTATATTCACTGATATCAGAAGTTATGAGTGGATTAGCCAATACAATTATTTATCTGAATATGATAGATGGGATTAATAAAAGTCTCTACTTTTATTTACCAAGGTATGATGATGATGATGATGGATATAGTAAAGTTGTAATCAGGTAATTTCTACATGTGCCTTATACCCTTTTTTCATGTTTAATGACGCAACATTCATTTATTTAACCACAGAGTAACATATATAAAGTGTAGCTACAAATACGATTGTACAGCTTTAGAGAATAGCATCGCTGAAGAAAAGATTCACTTCGCTGAATCATCTTCATTTTTTATTAACTCTTTATGGAATTGAAAATAAAGGCATTATTTCCCAAGAATTCAACTGAAATTATTCATGAAAAAGAATTTTTCTTGATCACTATTCTGAATAATCAACATCGGGTACTTTTGCAATTATATCTGGCGCTCTGAAACTCCCATATCTAGCTAATGATTCACATAGACACTATAAAATTCTCTATTAATGTTTACACAGATTTCAAGATGTGTTATCATTGGTCTTTTTCGAAATTGGTTATAGAGCTATTGTTATATTGTACAATTATCTGAGTTTGTAATCATTACACAAGCTTTCTATAAATGAACCCAAATCAGTAACTTAAGAAAGAAGATGAAGGAAGCGATGAAAAGAAAGTGCTTTTGACCGAACCGAGAATACATGTACATTCATATATATATACCTTAGAAAATAAAGTCATATTTTCAACTAATGTTGTGTTCTTCGCCATAAAATCAAGCTAAATCTCGGCCAATGGCGTCTGCTTATTTTTCTCAATAAAATTCCAGTTGATTGAATAACAGCCGCTTAGATTAGCACTAAAAGGACTGGATAGACATGAAACTGGTCACTACTCAGTGGTCAAGCATCTGTACAATATCTCAGTCGTACAGGTCAGCCGATAATATATCAGTGGTAGTGCCCCCAACTGTAAAACTGGGTGATACAGGATTAAATCCTCCAGGTATCACTAGTTCTCCAAAAATTACAAGTACACCTTACTAATGAATGCCGAATAGCGTGAAACTTAGATCGAACAAGGGGGGTTCTTGTTGATTACCTCCAGTCACTTAATGAAATATATATATATATATATATATATATATATATATATATATCAACATATCATTATTCTAAGGAAAACATTACTTTTCACTATTGAATTATCTAACATTTGTTTCTTTTGTTCATCGACAATATTCAACGTGAATGAATCTGGTTTTATACACCAAGCTAATAATTGTCCATGAGTAGTACCGGCTAGTAGATATTGATTATTATCATTAGGATGAATAAATGCTGAAGTGAAACAACCAAACTTTTGTACAGTCATAATAGTAGTAGTTATTGAATTTATACAGCGATCAACTACACCTTTGTCTATTTTTGTTTTAATATTGCTACTGTTGTTAACATCAAAAGGCTATACAAATCATGAATAGTGTAAAGTAGGAAAAAATAATGAAAAATTTAGTGAACAAATGGAGAAAAAATAATGACAAAACAAAATGGTCTAGTTGAAAGAGATATATTTGAGTGGTGGGTTGTATCCATTATAAATTGATCTTAGTTGGGGTACCATTGATAACTGAGAAATACTGGATAACTGTTCTCTATTAGTAGGCACTTATCAGGAGTGTGCAAAGACGAGAAACGAAAGTTATGAGTTCAACCACTAGCTGAGTTGTGGTGCTCAGTATTGAGGAATCTCGTACCAGTAGGAAACAATTGTTTAATTCCCACTGGCTTTCAGTGGTACTCCAGCTGAAATGGTTGAAGTTAGACATTAACAACGTCGTAAGCCGGCTCATTGGTCTGGAGGTTAAGCGTTCGGGCGAGAAGGAAGGTCCTCATCCCGTATCCCGTGTGCGGAATCATGGATGTGAACTGCTGAGGGGTCTCATACTAGGACGAAACGGCCGTTTAGTGCTTCTGAGTTTTCAATGGTGGTCTAACATTGATCGGTCCAAGACCTTAGGAAAAACCCAACAATCTCCAGCACACTACACTGATTCTTATTACGTAAGCTGGTAATTATAATGAATGGTATTTCAATGTTTATTTTTCCAAGCTGTTGATCTACTTCATACTAAGAAAGATTGATTCATGCGTTTATTATTATTATCTGAAAAATTTTCACCATATTAAAGCACATATATGTTGACAAACAGTGTTCTTTTCAATAAGACAATTTGGATAGATAATTAGAGAATCTGAAGAGGATTTATTGAAAAGAATACTCTTCGTTCATATATCTGTGCTTTATTATTCCTATGACAACGAGTACACCTATCATTACACTATCAATTTGTACTTCTTGCTGATGTAATCTATTTCGCTATTACCAATGACTCAAAAACTGCCTTCATTGGTTTAATATTTTCATAAATCCATATAAATATTATTGTATATTAAAGTAAAACCTGTTGAGGATCTGGTGGAAAACAACGTTGTTCAGTAACATATGTTGTTCTAATTCATTGTATTCTGTAAATCATGTAATCCTTGTTCCATAATAATGAAATCCTCTTACCAATACTACTATTACTAATACTACTACTAATAATAATAATGATAATAATAATATATGGATGATGACGAGGATAGATAAACATCGGGAAACTTTTTCGAGCAAAAAAGTGTCATTATCCAATTTATAAAATACATCATGTACCACTTACAGAGAAAGTGGCTATATGCACTGGAACATCTGTGCAGATAGAATCTCTTGAATAGATAATAAGACTAAATAAAGAGAAAATAATAAAGAAGAAAATGTGAATTATAGTTTAGATAGAATATTTTTGATAGATGTCAAGTCATGTTATATGCAACATAGAGGACCTGATATATATATATATATATATATATATATATATATATATTCAGTTTTCCTGCACATACACGCACAATCACATTAGATAAACTTAATCCAAGACAAATCCCAGAGTAATAGAAGTTGTATTAATAGTATCCGTAATTCATGTATCACAAGTGAAACTGAAGAAATGGTGACTCCTGGAACTAGTTCGTGGATTATTATTATTATGTACATTCTTATGAAATGCATGTAACTGTTATCTTTCGACAATCATAAATGTGAGTTAGTTGCCTACTGGAAACAGTAGAAGATGGTAGTGAAATATCGTGGATTGATTGGGGTTAGACATTAATACCGTTGGAGGCCGGCTTAGTGGTCTAAAAGACAAAAATCCCCGCATGCGGGGACGTGCAGGAGCACTGCTGAGGAGTCCCATACTAGGACGAAACGGGCGTCCAGTCTTCAGTCAAGAAAAAAACACTATTCTCATAAGTAACAAATCAAATCTAATTTATTAGTACAGGAGGATTCGTGGAGATTGTAGAACTTTCATAGTTAGTCCACCAATAAAAACGAAGAAGCATTGGATAGTTATTTTATCTCAGCACAGATCTCCTCAGAAGTGAGCATCCATGACCATTCAATTGGTAATTGAACCCGGAACCTTCGGTCATGCGAGCAAGAGCTTAAATTGTAGACCAGTAAGCCCGTATCCAGTGATACATATATGTCTAACTTCAATCAATTCATGATAATGAGTAGCTATCATGCATAGTTTGCGGTGAATAACTGTTTTGTAGACGATATGGTTGAACCACTCTGGTAATGGCCTCTCACTAGAACTCCAGGAGTTGTATCATGAGGCTATTGATCAGTGAGTACGTGACCATTATTAGTATGAGGATTTGTAGTTACCAGAATTTTCATAGTTCAAATCACAAACTGATCTTAGCTAGACGCCCGGATGAAGGATTGTGGATACACACTGCTGAGGAGTCACATATTGACGAAGCGGTCATCCAGTGCTTCCAGGTCTTTAATGGTGGTCTAGCTAAAATCGGTTTGTGATTTAAGCTTCAAAAAACTTGATTTTGTTTGTACACTCACGCGCACAAATCCATAAAAATAACTTACCTTTTTGGTAAACTATACAAATAAACAAATCCCGACTGACCATAGACACTTATAACATTAGATTGAATGAAACTCCCACCGACTAATACATCATTTGTTGGATTCGATACTGTACAATTAATAGAACAAGTCATTGCATCGAAAAGCTGAACAAGAAAACACAGGGAAAATAAATACCATAGTTGACTCTGAAAAATGCCAAAAGTGTATTAGTCCGCCAATCAATTAATCAGCTAGTCATATGCAAGGTAGAACCAGGAATATACAGTGGCCCTTATATACTTGAAATACAATACAGGCTCAAAATCAAATTTAAAATTGTATCATGTAATGGTATGGCAGATCGATACAAATTGTCATGTGAACCCATTTGACCTTTGCATGTATAATTGTGACGTTATTGGTCACACTGTGCGCACACTTCAATCTCTCTCTCTCTCTCCTTTTGTCTGCCTTACTCTGTCTATTTTCATACACATAAGCCGATTCTGAACTAATCAAACATCTCCTAACTAGTAACGGTCAAAGATGACACAACGTTTATCTATTCATTTTTACTATCTCCTAAGAAGAATATATGAAATATACACATCCACATCGCTATTCGTATCCAACTTTGAAATCTACATTTCAGTGACGTGATAAGTCACAAATTAGTAAGGATACATATTCTATTGTTCATCAACAATCACCATCACCATCCTATGATAGGGCCACAAAAAACACCATTGGTTCAAATTGCCACAACATATCAGTACAGCGGGAGGAAATGATCAAAACAAATATCAGAATAGTAATGGTAGTAGAAGTAGTAACAGCACCAGTGACGGTAGAGAACATTAAAAATTGATATGATTCGATAAAAAATGAGTGAAGCAGTGGAATAGAACGTATGAAATCATTTTAAAACTTAAAATCTAAGGGAAGAATAAGAACGAATGCATCTCTACATGATTGAGACTCATTGAGAGCCATATCAACTAATGTCTTCAGATATTGGCCACAATGCCAACCTGGTAGTCAAATCAATGAAAAATACAACCAAAATAAAGAAGTAAACAATGACAGGTTAAAGGTCAACAATAACCAATCAACATCGAGGATAAGCTGTGAGCCATATGTAGAGAAATTCGAACACTTCACTTCTACCTGAAGTTTGTGCTGATGATGTTGTTCAGAATAACAATGAAACCTACATAACCAAGCCATCAAGCTCAGAAAGCAAAACTCCATCAAAAATGATTCAGTTCAACAATCAACGATATAATTAATTGATATCATATCTTGGCTTAACCACCTCTAACATTCTTCGAATCTATTCCTCTACCAGCAAAAATAGCGCGTCAAGGTAGGCGATGGTTATGCATCCGCAAAACATGTCCCAACTACCGTATCCGATGAGTATACGTCATTTTATTAGAGAAACAATTATATTTCCTGATCGGTTAACTGTGTTCTTTCTTTTTTGTATATCAACTCAACTAATAAGGGCATTTTATATGTGGATAATTCGATCTCGTGACCAGTTGTTATCAGTCGGGCAGATTGGACCACTGTGAATAATCCTACCAATTAGCATTCGATTTACTATCATTTTAACAACTAAATCATGTGTAAAACAAATTCATTATTCACCTCCAAAACACTTGAAAAACTTAAAGATACATCAGAGTTCAACAATTGGTTTCTGTTGACAACTTGACCAACGAGTACATTATTCATTAATTTTAGTATTAAACATAACACTTATGTGATATAAATGAAGTATTAATTTTCTATGATTAACTGTGATATGCACTACTGAAGAATTCCTACCGGTAGACAACTGTCATTTAATAATAAAAATAATATCACTGTAGTTCAGCCACGTTGGGAATGAGGTAGCCACGCATCAATAGCATTGGATGACAGTCGCACAATTTCTCAAGTTGATTGAATTTAGAAATATCAATCACTGAGTGGTAATTCAGTGGTCTCAAAATTGGCAAGGATCAACGGTTAGGATTGTAATGTTGGTTGCTATGCCAAGCCCACATAGCTTATTCTAGCTTCCGGACAGATCAATTTATTTATTCATTTTGAGTCCCATTTTGAACTTGTCATTTATTCGCTTATCAACCTTGACTGTTTTCATGTAAGCGTATGCGTGTACATTTCGTATCTTACTCATCACATATCCGTAACTTATTATTGTCTGACTATAAATATCGATTAACACTTGGTTAAATCGAGTCGTCTCCAATCGGTTTTGCTTCCTTCACTCCGTCTTTGTTCTGATCAACGATTGCAGAAAATATATATATTCAAAACTCCATTCTCGTATTTGACTTATTTTAAGTCCGCTATTCACTAACGCGAGTTAAGTCGATAATTATAAGAGAATTGGCAACATGTATATTTCAATGATGATCATTCATACAATCAAAATGGAGTTGGATATTCCAGGGTCACTAAAGGATTATAAGGATTTAAGGTTACAGTTAGGATTAGGAATAAAGATTTGGGAATTTACGATTAAGAGTATTGGAATCGGTATCAGAATGAAGGGTAAAGATTTAAGTATAGAGTTAATTTGCTTATTATATACAATCTAAGTATAAAGAATCACATATTTATTACGTTTAACACTTATTTTTACACTGTGAAAATAAAAAGTAATTTGAAGGGGTTTTGTGAAGGTTTCAGTATTTTCATAGTTGAAATCATGAGTCAATTGAAGCTAGACCACCATGGAAAACCTGGAAGCACTGGACGATCGTTTCGTCCTGTTATGGGACTCCTCAGCAGTGCGCATCCACGATCCCGCTCCGCAAGATTCGAACCCAGGACCTACCAGTCTCGCGCCAGAGCACTTAACCGAAAAAATAATTTTTCATTACAATTTTAAACGTTTCGAACATTATACAAAGGTATTTTCATTGTTAGTTTTATGTAATTTAAGAAAAAACGTTATACATTTTTTTAGATTTTGATCCACTCTCCATCGAAGAAGTTACACTGATTGACATTACACTTTAAGTAACAATTCAACTGGTATTCAGCTTACTCACCATTCCAAAATAACAAGAATGAGAAATTGAAATAAGTCCCCTATTTATAATGAAGTTAAAAAGATTATAGGTAGACTAGAGCGAAGGGGAGCAGCAGGCCCTCATGGATTGGCCTAAGATATATTTAAAGATGGTAGTTTCGTTCTAGTAGTTAAATTGACTGAAATGCCAGACAGAATTTAGATCGCGTAGTAACATATGACTGATCTGAATCACTGATGTTCACAGGTTATAAAGAAATCTTGTGGAAACCAAAGATAAATCAGTTCGATAAATATAGTACCTAAAATACTAGCCTCTATAATTATCTGTCTCTTAACTAAGGCTCGTGAAGAGTAAACCAGGATGATTTAAGGTTTACTTAGTACTGACTGAAAGTCGAATGTCTTAACCACTGAGTTACCATTCCATATTTCACATAAACAAACAAAAGTACACACAGACATCCAATACAACTATAATGCTTACTTGCCATCCACTAGAACAAACTAATAATATACATCGAGGTGTTTGTGGACAACAATCAACTTGTATTATGGTAGATGGACAATTAATAGATCGTGATTCGTGTTCATATTTTGCTTCACCCTAAAATTATTGAAAATGAAAAAAATTCGTAAACATCGAAATAAAAGAACAGAAAAAAACATTGATGAAATTTATACATTATTTCCACCACGAAGAAGTTCGAGATTCTGGATTTGATCCCATCAGCGAGGCTGTGAGCATTGCTACATAAATTTAAATTAGAATGAAACACTTGTTTAGTGTGTTCCATTCCCAGGTATCGCTTAGGAATTGGTAAGAACGTTGTTTTATCCACCACGTTTTAGTCACCTGTTCAACGAATTTACACAAGAATTGATTTCCCTAGGAAATACAATTAAAATAGTTCAGTTCAAAAGATGAATAACTGTTACAACAGATTGATCACTGGGTAGTGACCGATATCATGTATGTCTAGTCCTTCTTTAGTGCTGACCAGATTCTATCGATCAAGCATCAATGTACCCAATAGTCTAAATGATTGTACATCGCGTGCACTATGTTGATATTTGAGGTGATGGTTGGAGGAGGTTAACAGGAAACTCATATAATCGACCTGGGTATCGTGCTATTTGGCACTCACCAGCAAGATTTACCTGTAACCTTGAGGAAACAGATTTGATCCAATGACGCCCGGCTTTATTGCTGAGTTTGTAATGTCTGTTGATATGTTAAGCCCATATACCTTATTTTAGCTTCTGGACAAGCCAATTTAACCACTCATCATGAGTCACGTTTCGATCTTGTTGATATATATATACAACCATTCAGATTATTTAGGCCAAGTATAGACATCCAGTTGTGGTTCAGTAGTTATATTATCTGCATTTCAACCGCAGCATAGCAACGCGTACCTGTAGTCCTGAAGGAATCGATGTTGCTCGTGACATTTGAACCAGTTAGTCAACTTCAATCTGAAATTACTTAGATAAATTTTGGACATTTGGCGGCCTGTTTAAACCTAAGGGCTACCTGTTCCTATCTTCTAGATATTTCAACAAGTTATCTAATTTTGTTTGTTTTAATACATCATTATGCTTATTGATCGCACAACCTATTATGGTGTGTTTCTGAAAAGTGTACAACCTTTCGATGTAAAGGTTACAGAAGGCCTAACCAGAGATATCGTGGTTGCAATATGGTTGGCAATATGCAGCGAGAAGAATGTACATTATCCAGATGTCGATTGACTTGGCTACTAACTTCTAACTGGCGATCACTCAATATTTATCCTCGGGAAGCACGAAGAAGTAAGAAACGGAAACTTGTTGAAGTACTTAATGCTGAGAATTCTATATTGTACCAAAAATATAATATTGAATAAAGCTAATAGTAATTAATTAATTAATTAACAGTCTTATTGTGGCTTTATCAATTACATTTGATCAGCACTAAAGAAGAGATAAGCATGACATTGGTCACTATTTCATGATTGATTTTATGATCAACTGATCCTATTGTGGTAACAAAAGGATTTGGTTGAGAAAGATTTGTTAGTTAGTTTTTAAAAACAGATGTACATTTTACAAAATACATTGAAACTACTCATGAGTAATGTGATGTATAAGATGAAATTTATCTTGACTATTTCCTGATAGACTTATACTACAAAAAATAAGATATTGATATGAGGAAATTGCCCAATAATGTCATTAGATAATGGTCATATTTTGGTCGCGAAATCAAGGACTTCCAGATTACAAACCTTACACACTCTGAGAAATAACTTGAAGATATTATGTGTGTTTAGCTCATTAAGTATGAACAGTATGTGTTGAATTCATTTACCTGAGTTCATAATCCTTATTTACTAATATTATTACGGTCCAGAATAGCCCAGCAATCATAGTTTTTTAGTTTCACGAGTTGAATTTTCGTATTCACACACCAAAATCTGCGTAAACCTGAAACTTGTGTTCTATTGAAATGACCTTCGCTTTTCTCTGTTGTAACACGTAACTTTGTTCTGTGCTTTTCAATGTCACCTTCAGATCATACACACAAACGTGCTATAAAAAAGTTATCCCTTCAATTGAGGCATAAAGATAACTCCCTTATGAATATACAAGCACTCTCTTCTCACTTTAACATTTAGTGGTGCATCTTTAGATTTGTTATGTAGTGACTCGGTCGGTTTACAATAATTACGTTTTTAATTGGAATCATGAATCGATTGGTGTTAGATCACCATTGAAAACCTAGAAGTACTGGATGACCGTTTCATTCTATTGTGGGACCCCTCTGCAGTGCGTATCCACGATCAAGCCGACGGGACCCGAAACCAGGACCTTCGGTCTCGCACGTGAACGTATAGCAACTCATGTACAATTGAGTTTTTTCATATTTAATTTGGTTGAGCCCTTTCGTTAACTTATTTAACGAACAGACGGATTCGCACAATAACAACCTATCAATACTATTGTACCTTTATTATTGTCTCACTTATATGAATATGTATGCTTGAGCATTGCTTATTGCCTACGCATGAATTCATTCTGCTAGCCTTACTATTAGTAGTCGCTCAATTGATTCGATGACTCGTTCATTTCCATTTGTGCATATATGTACATTTTAATCCTGTCCACTGACTCGACTCGCACGCTCACTCGCTTGCTTTATGACGCTACTCTTTTATGCTTGCTTAACGTGCCTATAATTTTGGATATCTGTGCGTAGTTCAATAATAAACGCAATCAACGCTTAGTATTCGCCTTCTGATTTATGCACCGTTGGGGCGTTATCTAATAGCGGTTATAAGGACGAACAATATACGAAGTTTAGGGATAATGTCGAATACCGATCACTACAAACGCTGAACCTTTAAACCACTGGGCCGGCATCCGACGGTGTTAATGTCTAACCTCAACCAATCCACAAAATTGCGTGACCATCTTCGTGATACTCAGGTAAATACCTGTCTCTATCCAACATGGATTAGCTCCACTGGTTACGGCTTCTCACTAGAACTCCAAGAATTCCCTCACGAAGCTACTCGCTAGTGAGGACACGGTAATTATCATTATGGGGTTGTGGAGATTATTAAGTTTTTGATTGAGATGATGATGAAGAGTTCTACAATAGGAAGAAACGGCCGTCCAGTGCTTCCAAGTTTTCAATGATGGTCTAACATTAATCGATTCATGATCTCAATCAAAAACTTAATAATCTCTACAACCCCATACTGATAATTACAATAACTACGCAATATTCATCTTTGTAATAGTATTATCAACTCCCACCTCACCCCCCACTATAGTACGCAGCAGTCAATTGATAAACACTGTGATAAGTGTTACGTTAACTTGACCAATCCCGACGAAATGGTTTAGTGAATACAGTAATAAATCACATGACCTCATTGTAGACCTTCATAGATATATATATATATATATATATATATATATATATATATATATATATATAATCATATGATCAATTTGTAGATAATACTAAACTCAAAATGAGACAAAGTAAACAAAAGGATAAATGCTTTGCTTGACCAATATTCTCTTTTTATTTTAAAGAATTTTGTATTAACAGTTAATGAGAAGTGCTTGATAGTACATAAATTCTTGCTAAGTTATCTGAATTAAACTACAGGAGTTTTTGGGGGTAGGGCTATGTACTGAATTCGTTCGTCGATGCTAGAAGCTGGGAATAGTTTTTTGTCAGCGTGAAGTTTCGTTCTTGGTCGGTGCTCACCACTTTTAAGGTGGCATGATAACTCGCTTACGAAAGACGAAGAATAAACCATAAAATATGAATTTTCTGTTTGATTCCGTATATTAAATTTAGACCGTCCCCGTTTGAACAATGGTGGTAATAAAAGTTAAACACGAATTAAGCCAGAAGAATGTGTTACGGAAATTCAGATAGACAGACGATAAGAGGTGTAGCATTGAGAAAAGCTTCACAGCTTAGTCAATTTTACCAAGCGTGACTCAATACTTATAAACATGAAAGTTGCAACCAAGTGTATAGACATAAACTCATTGCCATATACATATACTGAAGGTTGCATACACAAATGACGGAAGGACTTGGAAGATCAAAATAATATATATGTTCAAAAGTTAGGATAAATTACGCAGGCATGTAACAGTAATGATTGTTACAATCGGTTAAGTGCTCTGGCGTGAGACTGGTAGGTCCTGGGTTCGAATCTCGCGAGGCGAGGTCATGGATGCGCACTGCTGAGGAGTCCCATAATAGGACGAAACGGACGTCCAGTGCTTCCAGGTTTTCCATGGTGGTCTAGCTTCAATTGACTCATGATTTCAACTATCTACACAAAGTTAGTAAGTGACTGGCCTCAACTAGTTATCCCTTGAATTTTGAGACCACATTCTGTGGTCGACAAAACTACTATTAATTTGGTTTCGTCTTTAGGCATCTCAAGAAGCACCTTTCCACAACGTGGATAATCGAAAAAAACAACTCTCAAACCTCTAACAGTCCTCAAAATCGCCTTAGTCACAATTGAACCTCTTCAACACAAGAAGTGTTTTCTTTTTATCAGTATCGGATTGTGGAGATTGTTGGATTTTATTGAGACCACTAACTGGTTTAAGTTAGACAACCATTGAAAACCTCCAAGAACTGGATACCCATTCTTTCCTAGTATGTGACTCAGCTGCACACACCCACAATCCTGTCTCTGGGTATCGGAACCAGAAACTTTCGATCTCGCGAGCGAACGAGTAACCTCTAGACGAATGAGCCAGCATCCACCGGTGTACAAGTCTAACTTCAATCAATCTAAAGTATTTAGTGATCTTCAGTGAGCAACTTCCTTCACTTTTTATTGTTAAATGCTCCAATATAGTTTGTAATAATTAAATGTATCTGAGAAATTATTTCCATCAATAAAGTGATATGATGTCTAATAAGAAAATTAAAAAGTGAGAAACCATCAAAATGCATTATGACAGTTATTTAGGGCTCTTTGAAAAAAAGAAAGCGATCTACCTCTTACTCTTCCTACTTTTAGGTCCTTATTTCAGCAAAGTAGCATATATTCTATATTTAGTGAATAAAGAGCAAAAAGTACACTACTTAGTAACAATCGCTTGTTAAATTAAGTCTTATTGAACCATACGTATAGGTATTATACATATTCAGACATCAAATAGATGGTAAATTTTTTCAAGAACTTCATGAACAAATGCGTGGCCATATATCTGACTGATACCAATGCCAGTAAGAACGTCTTCTCTCTGGCTTTAAGTCATACTTCTCGTATCAAGGCTAGCGATACGGCTTGGATACTCAAACAAAATAGGTGGAGCAGCTTAAACCCACAAACTGCTGATTAAAGGTCAACTTGTTCGACCAATGGACAACCGTTCAACAAATTATTACAATAAACGAGAGGTCAGAGTTCAATAAAACAAGAATACAACAACTTACTTGTGTTTCTTCACCGTCCAGCGTCCATAATACAGCTAGATTGGAGTATGAAAGACCTAAAACGATTTCATCTAGAAACAAAAAAGAGACAAATATCACTGAAGGTGACAATGTAGCCTATTACAATCGTTAACTTAAACAACCTCGGTAAGATTCCACGTATGATTGTGTGTATTTTTATCTCCCAAATACCCTGGTACGATCGAGGATGAGAAGAGTTCGCTCTCCGTCCCGAAATCCTATCATATGACCGCACGTGCACCGCCACTTCCACAAAAGTCCTACTTATTGCCTTCTCATGGCGGGGGTGTTGTTTATAAGATCGAGAGGACGAAAGGCGAATATCCGATGCTCAAACCGGATTGATGGGTACGGTGGATACACCAAGATGAGTCGGAAAATATTAATTCCAAAAATATGGTGCACATGGGAAACGATCCTGAGGGAAAAAATGACGTATGGAACTATTCTTGGTCACCTGTCACCATGGGACCGCATCTCCTAAAGTTGCTCAACTCTCTTGTGGATTAGACTCGTAGGTCAAAGGCTCAGGGAGTGGCTCCCTAATAAAACCACCTGATCCGGTCTGCGCACCCGGACAGTATCCCATCCCACAAAGAAACTTAGTGATATGTGTGGCACATACATATTTTGGTGCCCCTTTGTGCCAATGCTTATGTGTTTAAATAAACAATAAATAATGTGTGTACGGATTATCAAAGAAACATTATCCCAGTGCTTCCTGATAAGTTTCCAGTAGTTCTGTAGTTGAAATCTCTTTGTGATTAAAATTATTTCTCTACGTGCACAAAAAGAATCTCAACTACAAGTGGCCTTAGTAAAAAAGTACTTTTAAAATAAAGTGTATTTATTTCAGTTTGAAATGTTATCACGCTACCTCCGTATATGAAGAAGTTTGTAAATTACACAAAATGCTTAACTGTATTATATGACTCAACTAACAGTTTAAAAAAAATCCTTACTACAAATACTGGTAACAGTGATGATGACGATGATGCTGGGGAATTTCAAAAGCTAGAACTATGTCATGGTAACAGTTGTAGAAGGCTTGGGTAGGTAGTAAGTTATTTTCAACACTATCAGACAATTAACTGTTGTAAGTTTGTCTCCAATGTTTGTGTTTTGTTTCAAGTTGGGTGACCTGATGGCATAGATAGTTGCAAGCTTTTTTTCTTGATGAAAACATGTTGACATGGCTAATTCAGAAGGACCAGTTCAGACTCTTTAAAAACTTATTTGAAAAGAAGCTATTTCATACGTTACTGAAGGAGTTAATACAGATGTCAAACAAAACGCGGGTTTTTTCAGAACTCTGATCAAACAATTACGTACGTTATCTTAAAGAATCCCTTACTATCTCTATATAATCGTTTGAAAGCAAATGAATTTTTACTATTAATCCCACAATTAAAGAAATATATGATTACTCTCCAAGTAGATAATTCAAAAAACTCAGTATATTTTGAACAAACCCTATAACAGCAGTGTGAAAAATCATCCATCACAAGCAAACTGACAGACATACATCACCAACATAGAGCCTGGGGACATATGTGCGTTGGCCCAAGTTGCCGCGCTAAATTAGCACGACTATATGGAAATAACAAAAGAGATCGAAATAATGTATCAGCAACGATAGTGATAAAGACTAAATCCTGGGAGTATAATTTGATAAGGTAGAATGGAAAGGTATGCATAAAGGAATATTAGAATTCAAGGTCTAGAGGGATGCACCTGTGCTATGTTACCCGAAGTCTCGAACGAATGATCACAGTTATTGCACTGAGCCCAACCTGGTAGTTCATATCTACGAACGTGGCTCAGACCGAAGGTCAATGACCCCATGGACTGGTGTCATGTTTTGATTTGGCCACTCCTACATTCCTTCCAGCCGATTTCAGCCCTATCGAACATCACCCTTCGAGGTAGGTTGTGTTTATGCATATGTGACACATGTCCCAACCACCCGAAACGATGAAGATTGGCAACCTACACATTACAAGCAAATGGCTACACTTCAGGAGTACGAGTAACAATAAAATTGTAATGACTTGGTCTTTGAATACTAGATTAGCTAAACAAAAATGACAGAGTACGCCATTTGTCCCCCCAGGATTTGATTTTATTTATTTAAACACAAATATTGGTACAAAGGGGCACCAGATACATATACGCCGCACTAATCTCATTTGATTTGTGTGAGGACTGTGATACTGCTCAGGTGCCCAAACTGAAGTAGGTGGTTTTCTTAGGGGACCACACCCCGAGCCTTTGACCTAAAGGTCTGTGTTATATACTAGGGAAGAAGTAAGTACAGATAACTTAAGGGACCAATTATTGGACTATTATTCTATGTATATTCTTGTTGTATAACTATTCAGTAACTAGATTATGTATATCTATATTCATCTGATCATAGGCTTCATTTTGACCTATTGACTATTATTATATGACTTACTGTTCCTATGTTATACTCAGTTTATCGATTACTGTCTCCCACGCTCCCAGCCACATTTGGCTTGATTTTGTACAAATATTATTTTCTATTTTATGGTATGATGTGGTCTGTCTGTCTGGTATGTAAACAAAGTATGCTTGAAATAAACGATTCCTATTACCGAAGCTGCTATTGGTGTTCTGGACTCGAGTGGACAGGCTAGGCGGATTAGGGATCAATAAGGACGCGAGATTACTCATACTGATTAGACGTCCTTGGCTTGTCACAGTGTTAAGGTCAGAGAAGTCGTATTCTATTGGTGGATAATTCACGCGAATTACGTCCTTGTTTCATTTGTAAGGCCATAACAAATTAGCGACGACCTTGAGCAAGTCATAATAATTGGCTACAACCTTGATTAGGACATAACAATTGGCGACGGCCAGGTCAAGACATAACAGTCTGATCCATAAGGCAGTGGAGCATCATGAGGAGATGCAGTTTCATGGTAGCCGGTCACCAATAATTGATTCATACGCCATTTGTTCCTCCAGGATACTGGAGTCCATGTGCACCATCGGTCTGGAATCAGGGTTTTCCAACTCCCCTAGGTGGACTTTCCGTGTCCACCAACCCGGTTAAAGTGCCGGATATTCGATTTCCGTCCTCTCAATTTCGTAAACAACACTCCATTCGCGAGAAGGCAGTGAGTAGGACTTCCCTGACAGAGGTTATATATGCGTGGCCGTGTGAGAGCATTTCGAGAGGGAGAGTGGACTCTCCCCACTCTTGGCCGCACCACGACATTTGGGAGCAAGGATGGCAACTAACTGTTGCAGTATGGAAGTGCCGGCCAACGATCCAGGACCCTCTCGCATGCCAAGCGAGTACATGAAAATAATTGATTAACTACTCTTATTTAGAATTTAGTTAATAAAGACTCAATGTTTTTTTTAAGAAAAAGAAAACAACTGATTAACACCCGGAGGAGAAAAATAAAAGTGAAACTTACAAATACAAGAAAAATTTAATCGATTGAATAACAAAACAATTAATACTAAAAACTACGATTACATTTGCATAAATCCGATTTGATTTAAAAGAGGATAATGAGAATGTTACATCATACATATATCTATATACTACCGACTACTTTTATCATTAACATATAGTTAAGTAAAATGAGTGTGGATCCAAAAACAAGCCGAGAAACATATTGATTAAGAAACAAATAAATTGAATAGAATGATAACTAGGTGATACGAACTACATAACACTTGTTAGCTTGTGTAAGACTTAGGTCATTAATATGAGTTAAATATGGTTTTGAACTTTTTATTATTTGATCTTGTTAGTTTTTAATCCATAATAAGTTAGTTAATTATAAGTATATATATATATATATATATATATATATATATATATATATATATATATAGACCGTTGATGCTACCTTGACGTGGTGGTCGGGCTTGCCTATCGTGATGATCCAATCGAGCTATACTGGGTGGAACAATCGTTCCTCAAGGTCCTACCATGCCAGACAGGTCGGTTGAAGAGCGGTGAGACTAAAATCAGCAATCCCAAGGTCCGAAGGCGAAGTCGTACTGCTGACTGTACAGAGGTGTGAAAGAAGTAAGGTGTTTCCTTCAGACAACCAGCATGACAGCGATGCTGCCTTCCCATAAGGAGGGATGGGGTTAGAGAAGGTCGACCCTAAAAATGCACACCTCGCCTTATCCCACGGATTTCCGTCTCCGGCGGTAAGGACTTTTGAAGAACGGAGCTAACACGTCAAAAATCCCCCACAAAAAGGCAGTGCGTGACCGGCCTCAAGCAGTTGTCCCTTGGGCACTGCGGTCACGCTCCCAGGTCGTTAAGACCAACACTAATCCAACTTCTTTTTCAGGTCCCTCGAGAAATACCCTTCCACGGTGTGGGCAGCCGGGAAGTGATACTAGCCCTCATACCCGTAACTGCACACGAGACCAAGTTGGTCACTTTCAAATCCTTTCTACACCTCCTAATAACTCTGTTATCTCCACGACTAACCCTTCCCACGTCCTTTTATCACCTCGCACCGCTAGGGCAAACGATTCAAGTACACAGAACGTTATTCCTGGTCTCCTGAAACCACGCTCTAAACTACATGTAGGAACTTTTAATGTCCGAACATTGTGCCGAATGGGAAGGACAACAGGCTTCCTTAGCTAGGACTCTAGAATCTTACACCATCGATGTATGCTGCGTCTCCGAAACGCGCATACAAGATCCGAGTAGTGTCATTCATTTGACCGCACCTAATCAAAATAAAGATTCATCTCGATACACGCTTTGTGTATCTGGAAGCCCTGATGCTGCTTCCCGTTGCCTCGCTGGAGTAGGTATAGCATTAAGTCGTAGGGCAGAACTAGCTCTTTTAGACTGGATCCCAGTAGACAGTCGTCTATGTGCTGTCCGACTAAACGGATCAGTAAGGACCCGGAAAGATAGGGAAACTCGTCGTTGCCTCTTCGTCGTCTCTGCCTACTCTCCCACTGACTGCAGCTCAGACGATATAAAAGATGAGTTCTACAGGAAACTTTCTGACCTTCTCCGAGAAGCTAGGCGTTC